AGGGGTGTTTTCCTTTTGGTTGAATTAAACACCCACCAACAAGGGGATACCCTCAAAATCCTACCAAGTATAGTTGCATATATACCCTCAAACAAAGACAGACCCCTACCCAACTTGAGCCACAATCAGCACCCGGGTAGGTGAAGAGGTGAAGGTTAGCAGGGGGAAATCCCAAGCACAAGTAGCCGCGGATATCCGCCTTCTGAAATTTCTTGAAGCATGGTGATGAGGACCATTTGAGTACTGATCGGTTTTGATGCTGACTCACTTGGTTGCACCTTAACCCGCCAAAAAGGGGTACCCTCAATGACTCTCACATGGGGTTCAGAAGTTACCCGTTTTTTTTGGGGGGGGCACCCAACTTGTTTAACTCCTTGGGTTTGGGTCAAACATGGGGCAACCCCAAAATGGGGTTCCCTGGTTTTGATGCCTCACACCGCTCCCAGGGTCCGCGACGAGTTCCGCGAGCTCCGGAAGTTCCTCGAGGCTGAGTTCCAGCGGGCGGAGCAGACCGCTCCACGCTCGCGCAGAGGCCGGGGGGGGGGGGGGGGGGGGGGGGGGGCTCGGCCTCACTTAACCGTAATCCCCTAAGGACAATAGCAAGAAGGTCTTTTGTGGGGCTCCTGCCAGGTATAAGCCAACCTGGCCAGAACCTTCAATAGGCTGTTTCCAACGGAACCTGCGGTTGGCGGAGGGGGTGGGGGGGGAGGGTGGGGGAAAGAAGGCGAAGAAGGCTGCATGCGTGAGCATTACAAAGCCTTGCACCACCACAACAGAAATTCTGGGGATCATGAACTCAGACTATGGATCGGCCGGTTGCTAGACTTGGGCTTGAGTTGGTTTGTGCTTTGAGCAGTCAACGGTTAGCTGCCGTTGTGTTGCTGCCCCTTCAGGCTCCGACTGGTCTGCCTTCGCACATGGCGGGCCGTGCGCGCCTTAACACCTGGGAGCCAATCTTGAGCGCACGTTGCGCCCTCAGGTTATTCTCTCCAACTAGCCGTGCCGATTCGGACGAGGCGTTGCAAAGTGTGGTTCTCCTGCATCATTTTGCCAAGGGAGACGGGCCAGCCTGGCTCTGAATAAGTGTCCGTTTTTCGTTGGGCTGGCTGTGGCTCAAACAACCGGCACCAAAATGGAACCCTGGCAAGTGAAAAGAAACATGGACCAACACCCGCGGTTTGCCCCTCCGATCGTTTAATTTTGAGCCACAGCTGAAATCCAGCTTCGCTGGGCAGCAAGGTGGTTTTTCTGTCGCCTGGAGCCCCTGAGGATGAGGAGAGTGAGGAGAAGGACTCGGTGAACCGAGTGGCCGCGGGCGGCTTGATCCAAGAGGGCAGCCTGACACAGGAGGGTGTGCAAAGGACGGTGCAGAAGCGGCTCGGCTTCAGAAGTTCGCTCGGCTCGCAAAGGGCAAGGCTTGGCACCCCTGAAGTGCAAGAGGGTTTTCAGGTGCGGTCCCCATTCCTAACAATCTCCATTTCTCTTTCCTGACTTGTGGGGTTTGGGGTTTGGGGTTTGGGACCCCCCATCGCCCGAAGCCTCGTTTTTTCTTCTTCTGCTTCTTCTTCTTTCTATTTTCCTTTTCTCCGCGCGAGGCGCGGGAGCATCCGGCGCTCCTTCGTGAGGAAGGCGATGGTGGAGCAGCAGGCCAAGGCAGAGAAGGAGGCAACACGCCTGGCCAGCATCAAGCTATCCTTCAGCCCCGCGCAGGAGACGCCGATGTTAGACGCCCCCTTGTGGTCAGATAGTTTTTTTCTCCTGAAAATAGGGGACCCCTTGTTGGATGGTTTTAAAGGGAAACGAAAAGGACGCCACCAAATTCGTGGGGGCTGGGAGTGGGGATGTCTCACTCCCTGGGCTGAAACCGGCTCAAAGGATTTGCCAAGCTTTACTCGGGACGAGGCGGCTGGGTGTTCGTGGTGGTGCTGCGGTGGGGAAAGAGGGAGGCGCTTGGGCTACAAGACGGAAGTCGGCTTGAGGCCAACACTGATTCCGCCCGATTCCGTGTGCCGAGGCGAATCGAGGCGAATCGAGGCAAATCGATGATGCACCGAATCGGCAGCTCTCCGGTGCTTAGCTACCGCAATCACTCAGAAACGGGGTATTCCCAAGGAAACCATGGGGATGGTGGAGGGGTCATTCCATGCCTCATTTCCCCGAGAACCCAGCCTTCCGGCGGTCTCAGGAGCCGAGTTCCCAGCTCACCTCGATCCTGAGGCGAGGTGGGTCTCAGTCAACTTGGGGAGGGGCCCCCCCAAGTGTTTTTTTCTTTTCTTTTTTTTCCCCGCTCAGGTGTCCTTCTTGGCGAGTTTGTTTAAAAATGGATGGCACTGGTTTAGAGGGGTTTCATTTCGCCAGGGACATCTATTTGTCCAAAAGGCCACCTTTGTTTTGCCGGTTCCTAAGGTTTCCGACCTGTGCGGCTTTTGAGATTGGGAAACTTAGAGGGAACCAACCACCCGCGGTCTCATCTTGGGAAACACACGTCTCTAGAAGCGGTTGCCCTCTTGGGAAAGGAAGGGTTTCTTCAAAGGTCTGGTTGAACCAACCACCCGGGGTCTTACCACCCGGTTTCTGGGCTTTCCCTTACAACTGTCAGGTCCGTGGTGTCGTCCTCGAGCTTCACCTCGGTGATCATGCTGATGATTCTCCTGAACATCGCCTTGCTGGGCATCGAGGTGGATATGGCCGCCCACGGCCACGAGGTGCCCGAGTGGTTCACCACCATGAATATGCTCATCGTGCTGGTCTTCACGCTGGAGGCTGGCTGGCTTTGGCCGGCTCGGGCCGCCTCGCACGGCTCGGGCTCGGAGTGTTTTTTTTTTTTTTTTTTTTTTTTTTTTTTTAAGGGGGTTTTCAGCTCGAATCCTGGCAGGTGATCCTGAAATGGGTGGCCTTTGGTTGCCACGAGTTCTGGTTTGGCCCAGACTCCAGATGGAATATCTTTGATGCAGCGATCATTGCGATCGCTTTGGTTGAGACGGCCATCGACATCTGGGCCCAGGCAGTCTGACAACTCCATTTTTTACCCCCAGAACCGCTTGAAATGATGCGTTCAGGTCATGTCCAACATGGCCACCGCCACGCATTTACGGGTCATGCCGCTGACTCAGTTGGCTTCGGGCAAAAAAAGTACCCTCCCACCAACCAACATGGAAGTGCACAAACCCCATTTCCAAGAAGGAAAGTAGTCTTTCTACGGGAATTCGGGTGCACTTCAATGTTAGTCGGTGGGAGGGTACACATTTGGCACAGGGAACCAAAGCCCCACCCAGCTCTCGTCGTCGCTTCCGAGGCGCTCCGTGCGCCTCTTCCGCGCGCTGCGCGGGGTGCGGGTGATCCGCCTCTTCCGCCGGGAAGCCCACGGCGCATTTTTCCGGGTTTTTGCCTGGGCTATGCTTGTTCACTTCACCGTGTGCTGCACCCATTGAATGATGCGAATGATGTTGGGGATGTGGCGAAGAAAAGTAGCGGAACATCGGACTCATCCATGCAACTGTGGGCCGACACCCAGGTTACATCAGTGCGTTGCGCACACTGGTGTTGTGCATCATCAGCACCATGGCATCCCTGGTGTGGACATTGGTGCTGCTGATTCTGCTGCATCTTGGCTCTCTTATGAACCAGCAACATGTAGGATTGTCCTTTCGCAACGGAATGAAGTTCATAAAGTGGGACGCCAAGCCTTGGCTTGCCCTTCATGTGTACATATTTGACAGTCGGTGATATGCTGATTGGTATGCTTGTGCAGCTTCACTGCGATGCAACGTTTGCCATGGCTTCCTTTGCCATGTTGTGTTGTGGCATCTTCCGACTAACTTGCGTAGATGCGCACATTATATATATATATATGTATTTGTATATACATTTTCTACATACATACATACGATAGATATATATATATATATATACATATACATATGTGTATATATACAGACATATATGTATCTATGCATGTATATTCGGGGGGGGTGGTGGTGCAACGTGGGCATTGAGCACAGCTTGTGACTCGTCACTTCTTCCCCCGCCCATTTCCAGAGCCTTTGCGCGGAAACAAGAACTGCTCTGCGCTGTCTCAAGCGCAGCTCTTTCCGGTTCCCTTTTGCCATACGAAGTCTCAACGATGCCAGAGGCAGAATGCACACATTTGCTGACAGCTTGCTGACTTGTCTGCCAGCATGTGCCATGCCATTTTGTGACTAAGAGCATGCGAGTGATTGCGTGGGAGCATATAAGTTTTCGCAGGTGTGTGCATTGTTACCCTGGGTCCCACCCTAAATCTGCATGAGTTCTTCGCGTTGAAGGAGGTGTGGATTCTCGCAGGCATGCGAAAGAGTGCCCTGAGCCCATAGGTGTCCTTTTTGGTTGTTCTGTTCGAAGAATAGGTGGCGATTCCTGGTTTACCTGGTGGTTTAATCATCTACCAGGGAAACCCATCTATTTCCCCTAACAGGACACCTACTGTGGATGGACGACATCCTGCACCACCTGAGAAATCCTGGAATCATGATCCCCTTGTAAAACCCAACCAACAATGGGGTCCTATGGTTTGAAAGTGGTGCGAAATGGATTTCGTCCATCCACAGTATGCCTGCGCACCGCGTTTTGCCGCCGAGTTTCTACACCTTTGGCGTGGTGCTGACGCAGCTGGTTACGGACACTTGTCGGGACCCAGAGATCTCGCAGGACGCGTGCCCCGCGCAGCTGCAGCTCTACTGGCGCTCCGTGCCGGACAGCGCCTGGGACACATGAATTTCGAGCTGCTTGTTGGGGGGATGTTCAAAGGGAACAAGTCGGGAAACGCGTTTGGGGGAAAAGGTGACTTGATCCATATGGCTGTGGGTCAAAACCAATGGTTCCATTTTGGGGTAGGTGCACCACCCATGTTAGTCGGGATTTTAGCGGGGATTGGGTTGTTCATTGGGGGTACGGGCTTTTGACCCATGGCCATATTGTGGTGGGTGTTGGTGTTGGAGGTTAGGCTCCTTGCGGTGTCAAAAGCCTGGCCAAAAAATGACGGTCTCGCGTCTCTTTTGGGGGTTTCCGATCTGAATTCTGCCGGCCTGCGCCAGGCATGCTGACGCTCTTCATGGCCATTTCGGGCGGCATCAGTTGGGAGGACGCCCTTCGACCACTGCAGAGAGTGTCGCCCTTGGCGGTGACGTTGATGATTTTGTATATCGTCACCACTGTCTTGGCCGTGCTCAACGTGGTCACTGGTGCAGCCCCAGCTGCACTAGGGCATGACTTGTGCCAAGACTTGCGGGCGACAGGGGATGCGCTGCTCTTTGAGGTGTTCTGCAATACAGCAATCGAAAGTGCTCACGCAGACAAGGCCTGAGTGGTTGTGTGGTGGTTCATAGTTGATGACAGTCAAACGCATGTGAGGAGGTGGCTGCCATCACGCAGATCAGAAAGCAGGCAAACCAAGTTCAACATTTGAAGCACCTCGGATGAGCACTCTTGAAATCCTTTCTCAATGCTAACAAACAGAGGTGTAGATATTGCCTTTTTTCCTTGGTACTTATGCCAAAGGAGCATCTTCACAGAGATTGACACGGCCAACTGCAACATGGTGAGCCTCCAGGAGCAGTTGGGTGTCCCTTTGCATATGTTTGGAGACCTCCGTGAAGACCTCGCGAGGATTTCCAGGAAGCCCTGGCACAGCAGAAGATGAGCAGCTTTCTGCAGTCCATGGGCATCTCCACGGAGGATGTGCTCACGCTCTTCTTGTCGCTTGGAGAAATCAGCTTTCCAGGGGGCTTTGCCATGTTCTTGGGTGCTTCTCTTGATTGCCTACTAGGCACATGGATCGATGGGCTGGGATATTCAACTGGCACGGGGTGAACGAATGAATGAGCAAAAACGCCGCCTGTGGTGCTGACAAAGGAAGAACGCCTGCCAAGGGATGCAGTCGCATCAAGTCGACCACTCAACAGATGCGCAACCAAGCGACCGTTGCAGGTGTGCCAGGAACCAAACACAGGTGTGAGCACCATCTTAGGATAATGGATGCAGACCACAGCGGCTTCATCGATCTCGAAGAGTTTGTGTCGGGGTGCATGACGCTGTGCCTTGCCCATTCGAGCTGGACTCTGCCGTGTTCGGGCCCTTTTTCGCTTGGGGCATAGCGGGGTTTTCTCACGAATCAGCAGTTGGAGAAGGACTTAGTTGAGCTCAACACCGCCTCCCCCCCGAACCCCCAAGCTTGTTCTCCCAGTCCGAAAGTGGAGTATTGAAGGCCGGCCATCTCGGTTTTTTGGCTGAGCCATGCGTTGTGCACTCGCTCTTGAAATGGGTGTGGCTCAATTCATTAAACCGGAAGGGGCAAACCGCAGGTTTTGGTCCATGTTTCCACAGGGCACCCCATTTTGGAGTTCCGGTGAGCCACAGCCCAATGGATCCAGGTGCGGCCCTGCGAAGAGTTTGCAGTTCGCCATGATGAGCTACGAGAACAAGCTCACCCGACAGGCGGGCGCTTGCCCGGCGGTTGCCGGGCGGTTGCCGGGCGGTTGCCGGGCGGTTGCCGGGCGGTTGCCGGGCGAGTCGGTGGGGAAATCCATGTGAGCCACTTGCTCAAAACCCGTGGATTGATGAAGCTTAGTAAGGGGCAGTCCAGCCGGAAATAGCGGCCGCCTTTCTGATTCTTGAAGCATGGTTCTGGGTTCACCTTTTATTGTACCAGGTTTTGATTGTGATTCATGTCTCGAACCACTTTGGTTCCATGGAAAACCATGGTTTGGAACTTGCAGGGGAATCATACCCAAGAAAACAAGGGTTGAGCTCATTCTTTGTCGGAGTATCTTTTCCAGGGGAAGCGGATCATGGCGTTATGTCCAACGCCCAGGCCATCAAGCGGCTCTCTCAGCAGACCGCTGCTCTTGAGCCGAAGAGCCGCAAGCTGAACGGGCATGCTGTGAAACTGTAGGGCTGGAAGGGCTTCTCCTGGGACTTGGCTTGACTTGAAGACTTAAAGCGAAAGTCGATCAGATTTTCATTGGGAGGGGTCCGAAAATGTGAGCCAACACCGCTGTGACACACTAGTTATTCCGTTATTCCATTTCAGGCGGAGCATTGCAAATGAAAGTTGCATGCAAAGCCAGTTGCAACTAGACTTCGTGTGTGGCTAAGCCATGTGCACGTGTTCGACCGGCGGACGGGTCTGACGCCCTTGTCCTGCTTTACCTGCAGTCACGTGAGACTGGTAGGCAAGGGACGCTGACTAGTGAGCAAAACAACTTGGAGAGGGCTGATTGGCATCTTCGACCAAAAAGAAAAACAGAAAAACTGATTCAGAGTAACGTAGCGGAGGCCATTGCAGCCCTGTGACCAGTGGCCAGAGTCTGTGTCGCAGGTCCGGAGCTGATCAAGGCTTTTGGCCTCGTGCCACAGCCCCGCGCCCAAAGAGAGATGGCCGATGGGTCAACGCCCATGTGATCCCATTTTGGTTGGTAGGTGAATTCACCACTCATGTTAGAACCGGGATTTTAGTGGTTGGAGTGGGATGTTCACTGGGGGTACGATTTGGGTTTTGGCCCATGGCCAAGACGGATGAGTGCAAATGGCACAGCTGCAGGTTTTTTGCAAGCCCCGTCAGGCTTGCCACGCGGATCATCCACCCCCGAAAGCCGCAAGGGTTCCGATTTTCGCGGAGAACCAGAAGGGTTGCGATGTTCAGGGAGCCGTTTTGGGGTTGGACAGCTGCAGGCCACGAGAGAAGCAGGCAGGCTGTGCCGGGGTTTCGGCGCAATTTTTCCGCCATTTCCTTTGGCGCCGGCTTCCTTTGGAGCTTCCTTCAAACAAGTCCAAGGGCTGCCCCAATTTTCCTTGAAACATCTTGGAAACAAATCCACGGGCTCCCCCAATTTGGTGAAAGAAATCCAAGGGCTCCCCCAATTTTTGGGGACGCCCCCCCCCCCCCCCAACTGCTGTGGCGGTTTGGTTTCCAGGCGGCGCCGGGAGTGCCGCCGCCGCCCGCGGGCTCCTCGTGCCCGGCTCAGCTGAAGAGCTTCAGAGTGGCTGAGCCACGCATCCGGTTCCGTAGGACCTTTTAGGATGTTTTCAGTTGAGTGGTTGGGTCTCCGAATCTAAGCCACCAAGACAAATCTGGCAAATCTGGGGCAGCAAGGAAAGATGAGCAAGTCATAGTCCCAATCAAATCTCGAGATAGTCTTTTTTTGAACAAACATATGACTCAGGTTGGTTGATTCTGATTCACTTGGTATAGTCCCAACCATCATTCCAGTCCCAGGTTTTGCTTCTGACTCACCTGCGTCGCCGCTCGCTCGCCCCCGACGCGCGATCGAGGTCCGCCTTCACGCTGCCGCCGCCCCCTCCGGGACAGGCGGAGGCGGCCGCGGCCGCCGCAGCCACCGCCACCAGGCCCGCGGGGCACGCTGGGGGCCCCTTGTTGGACTCATGGCTAGGTGCACCACCCATTTTGGAACCTATTTTAGTTGGGATGTTCAGTAGGGGTACGATTTGGCTTTTGACCCATGGCCATTTGGGTGTGGGGGATCCCTATCATGAGCTATCTGCGGTCCAATTCCTGGTGGTTTAAGCTTGACTCATACTCATTTGACTCAGGGTTGGACTCCCCCCCCCAAAAAAAGGGCTTTGGCTTTCTTTTGGTTTCCCTTCACAGCCAGCAAAAACGGTACTCCCTCAAAACGAAACGACACACGCCGATTTGACCTGGAGCCTCTAGGAAGCGCACTGTGCCCCTGGACGAGTGGCCTGCGCCCACGCCAGAAGCGGCCGGGTGCTTAGAGAGTCTTGGAGCTTTGGAGTCGAGCAGAAATGTGGATGTGGGTCAAAATTAGTCACCACCAGGAGTTGGCCTGCATATTTTTTTAGCTCTTCTTTCCATGTCCCAGGGTTCCATTTTGGGTACCTATTTTTTGACCCAAAGCCATGTGGATGTGGGGGTCGATCAAGAGGTCTGTAACACCTGGGATGACCATTGGTTGGACATCTGACAATGATTTTCCACGAAATGTGAAAAGTTAGCCCATGGTCAAAGCGGGGGGCCGTTCAGGGAATATTGATCAACATGTCCGCAAGGTGCAGCAAATGCTCGGCAGATTCCCGCAGGTTCGTGGCTTAGAGCTTCTTTGATTCGGGTTCCAAGCGCTCAATCGCGGACTGGGGGCTGAACACTTGACGTGGGCGGTGCTTCGTGATGCTTCAAGAACGGTGTGTATTCCTTGATATCAACCCGTCAGTCTGGATTTCGTCTGGACTCAGGACCATGCCCCATGCTTGAAGGTTTGACCAGCGGAGAACGCTCCCACCTTGCAGAAGTTACCGTGGGCAGGTTTTTGATGTTCTGTGGTCCCCTACGTCACAGAATCGTCAGGTTCATTGGGAACCTGCAGAAGTACCCTCCCACCAACTGACATGGAAGTGCAAAAAAGGCCCTTTCCAAGAGGAAAGTAGTCTTTCTACAGGGGTCTGTGCGCTTCCATGTTAGCTGGTGGGAGGGTACTTCATGTTCCTTTGTGCAGCAGTCACTTGCCGATGTCCAAGTTGGATGGCCACTGCCGCGGCTCCCTGATGAACCTCCCGCCGCAGTTCGCGCCGGGTGGCCGAAAAGGAGGGCGCTAGTTGCTGGGCGCTTCATGAACTAGAATCGGGTACGGGTCAAAATTAAACCACCAGGGGACCAGGTTTTGGTTTATGGTTTCACTTATCAGGGTTCCACATTTTGTTGACCCACAGCCAATTGTTGTCGGTGTGAGACAGGGAGCATAACTCGGAGGGGCATCCTTTGTTCAATATCACATTGTACCACGGCCAAAATTTCGGGAACCCTATAAATCATCCTATGGTTTCCTTTCAGGGCATCAGTTCCCAAAACCCGGAAGGCATGCCCTAAGGTTGGCCATCCTCTGGGACATGGATGCCAAGGGCGGACCGGAGGACTCCCGACTCAAATCACAAGCGCTTCTGGCAGGCTGAGTTTACCCGCGTCTGATCTACGACTGTCAGTCGATGCACAGCTTGCACCTGGGGATGCTTGCGAGACCCAGAAATCGCACCATGAAAGGAAACCATGAAGTTGAAAGCCAACTTGTTGGTTGGTATTTGCGCTGGGAATCCAATCGTTCCAGGGGTTCTGAATGGTGCGAGATGGATTTCGCGTCCACGGTGGACCCCATCCCAGGGAATACTGCACCACCGTTCAGAAACCCCGGAATGATTCGGAATGATGGCTCCCCTAAATGGCTATGGGTGAAAACCCAAATCGTACCCCCTGTGAACCACTCAAATCCCGACGAAAATGGGTGGTGAATTCACCTACCAGCCAAAATGGGATCCCATTGGTGTTGACCCACGGCCATCTTCCCCATAAATACCAACAAGCAATGGCTTCAACCAATGGTGGCGCGAGACTCGCGGATGTCGCGTCCATCAGGAAGGAACACTCGGGGGAATGAGAAGTGGAATCATTCCTACTTGTCTTTCATCCCCTGTTTTTTTTCTTTCGTTTTTTTGGGGCGGGGGAATCCACAAAAAACCGGTTCATCCCCAAAGCCCGGTCTCAGGCCACTCCCTGCCTCTCGCACTCCGAGCCAGGAGATCCGGGACCCCCAGGGCTTCGTGTTCAGCGCGGCGCAGATGCTGCTGCGGCTCCCAGTGGGCACAGCGGGGTGGCTCAGACCGGCCGAATGGGCGGCGGCCACCTTGGGGGCGTCTTCCCCTTTTTTTTGTGGTAAAAGGAAGGCGGAAGTCATTTTTTGCGGGGGACAAATTCTGGCAACCAAGCAGACTGTGACTTCCGAATTCCTGATTCTGAGACCAAACACTGCGAGGAAACCAATAAATCCCCAATTCCTGGAACATTCAGTGATTCAGAAAACACAGCTCAGAAATGGCGCCTGTGCGATGTAGCCACCCTTACCATTCCCTAGATTCAAAAACCAACATTCGCTTCAGCCAACATCATGTGCTCAAGAGTTCGGCAAGGAGGGTCATAACGTGATGCCCTGACTGCACACAATGCCCACAGGCTTGGCAAGCGCAGAACGGCTGGTGGTCAGCACTTGTTGTTTCCCACGTTACTAAATGACGTGACTCATCCCACCCCCCCCCCCCCACCCCCCCCCGCTGAGGCTATGACGGTGCCACCCATGCCGGTGGCCGTGCCACCAGTGCCAAGTGTGCCGCCCTTTGCTGGGCCAATGCCGGTGCCCAACGTCTTCGCGTGGGGCGAAGAGCCATTCGTGCCGGGCAAAACGCGTCGCCCCGAGCTTTACATGGGGGTTGATCAAAAGCTCCGTAAGACATGGGTCATAGGACGCCAGCCATCTTGAGGGGACTCCTATTTTGAGAAATGCCCACATGCTCTCAGCTCGTGGACATGTGACATGTGACATGACTCGGTGCCATTTTTCCGGGCCGCGGCGTCGTCTCCAGCTGCGCAGCAACTGGTACCGTTTTAGGGGATGTACAGGCCGCACAGAGGCCAGCCTAGCAACCGCCACAGAGAAACACCATGGCAATGGCTCAAAATCGCAGACCACCACCACATGATCAATTTTCCTTAGCGAATGATGCGAAAAACAAGGCTCCCGTTTTTTTTGTAGAAAGCACCTGGGTTGCCGTGGGATTGGATTCGGCATACGTGGTACCTTTGGCGCATCTTGCTTGAATGTTAGGACTTAACTTTTTTTTTTCCAACCAGCGTTTTGGCGAATTAAACCACTAAAAGTTAGTCACTTTTAGCAGGGGAGCAGAAAACAACCGAGGTAAAACTGGTAAAGGCTGTGGAAGTGCAGGGCGCGCGTTTGGGTCGGCTCATGTCATGGCTACTTTGCGGCGGCTGGAGGACCAGGCGGGCATCGCGGAAAAAAGCGATGCGCCTTTGGTGAGTGTCCAAAAGAGGCGACTTTCGGCTCTTTTTTTGGGAATCAATTTGGAGTCCTCTCTCTGTCTCTCTCTCTCTCTCTCTCTCTCTCTCTCTCTCTTTCTCTGTTTCTCTCTTTCTCTCTGAGCAAAGTTGCCATTTTCTTGTGGTTTCTAGTGGGATCCGTGAAGAGGCCGCCTCCCCCCCTCTCGGACCCGTTGGTGCCAGCATTCTGAGGTCTTTGCTGCTTGTCGGAAGGGCCGGACCCTGAGGACCCGAGTCACCACCAGGAGATGTGCAGGTTTCTTCGCACATATGGCTGTGGCTTTCCACAAAGTGGTGCCAAAATGGTAGGTTGGTATTCTGGGTGCAGACTTGGGAGTAGGCGACCCCGCCAGAGTGTCCCCAAGTCATGAGGCAATCCTAGAAACCCTTAGCGTGCAAGTTTCACACTTGAAAATATGATTAAGTCCTGTGTCATGGGTTCTTCACAGGGTTGCATCATGTGTAAAAAAAAAAAAATTGTAAGGCCCTTGCCTTTCCCAAGGCTCGCCCACCTACAGGTCCCAAGTCGTGCGGCTCTCTTGCGAACGGAAAGCAGCGGAAGTGCTGGGAACAAATATTACAAGCTTTGAAATACCCTGAGCCGGCCTAGAATGGAATAGACAAAGAGGCTAAAACGCGGCAACAAGTACTTGCAAATGCAAGGAAAAGTAAACTACGATGAACGGGAAGAGCTTGGGAAGTAAACTACTATAAATGGAGCGAAAGACCTAAACTCCGCGTGGCTTTGGCTCTTTAGCTTTGACCCATACCCATATTTCCATTTGCCAGGTGTTTATTTCAGATACATTTTTTTTGACCCACAGCCAGTTGTCAAGGATTCCATTGGTTTTGTATCCAGCTGCGGGCTTGAAGGCAGCTGTGACGGGGGGACTTCGCTTGAAACTCGGAGCGGAGCAAGCCATGAGGCCCGGCCAATGTTGGCGTCTTGGAGGAGGCGGGAGAGAGGGAGACTGCAAAGTGTCAGAAAAGAGCTCACAAAAGGAGACACAGAGAAAGCGAGAGACTGGTTGTGATGAGCTCCCTCTCTTTCTCGCTGCCTCTTGTGTTGAAACAGAAGTACCCCTTCAGGTGGCTGGTTCATGGCCCCCCACCTCACCTCCCCCCCCCCAGTCGCCGCCCCTGCCCCACAACCTTCTGGAGCCGTATTTCAAGTCGTTGAACATCTAAGTTTCTAGCAGTTCCCTCCCCATTCTCTTCAGAGAGAACGATGGGTGAAGAGAAGGGGGAATCAAACCTTCGAAAGCTTGGCTTCGGTCAGCTGCGCATCTGGGGCGACGGAGAAGCCCCGAGCCCGCAGGGCTGGACGCGCTGCGCCTTCGTGAGCGGCCTGCAGCCGCGGGCGGAGGCTTTGCAGCGCCGAGGCCTCGTTTGGGTGTGCCTCAAAATTAAATCACCAGGGGACCACAGGTTTTAGTCTTTGGTTCCATTTGCCAGGGTTCCATTTTGGATGTGGATTTCCCACCCGTTTGGGTGTGGCAAAAAATTAAACAGGAGGGGCAACACGCAGGTTTTGGTCCATGTTTCCACGGGTTCTATTTTGGGTACCGGTTGTTTGGGTCCAGCTCCAAAGTGCAAAGACCTCGACTCCGTGGGCGAGAGTCTTCTTGTCATGGCCCGCATTTTGTGCTAATTTTTGGGGCAACTTTCGGTTGGTCCCACCCAGGATCTTTCGCTTTAACCATGTGTGGGGAAATTCGGAATTTCTCACTGGCCCACTTGGACACATGGCTGTGGGTCAAAACCAATGGTATCCTCATTTGGGGTAGGTGCACCACCCATTTTAGTCGGGATTTTAGTGGTTGGATTGGGATGTTCACTGGGGGTACGATTTGGATTTTGACCCATGGCTATTTCGCACCCCGAAGAAAAACCCTATGCTGAGTCCCCTGTAACTACCAACAATGGTTTCCCATGGCTTGAAGTGGTGCGATATGCACTGGGGGTTGGGTCACAAATGCGTACCCAAAATGGAACCTTGGTAAATGGACACATGGACTCAAACCTGCGTTTTTTGGGGGTTCCATTTTGACCCATGGCCACGTCCCCCGCCGCTGCGCCGAGGCCAGCGGGCCAGCCTGCCGCTGCCCGGCGAGGCCGCCGCCGCGGCGGCGGAAGCGCGGGCCGCGCGGGTGGCTCAGGCAGGCGCTGCCGGCCACTTGCGCGGCCCCGGTGGGTTCCGTTGAGAGGGGGTTATGGTCCAGGTTCCATACTGGGTGGACAAAATCCTGCACCTAAGGGAAGCCCTGGAAGTATGATTTCCCTGTAAATACCAACAAGCTATGGTCTCCCATGCTTGCAAAGTGGTTTAGGATTTTGTCCATCCACAGCAGTAGGCGGGATATAAGTTGTTTGTCTTTCAATTAAAAGTGGCGAGTCACTCCGATGATCGCTCCAATCTCTGCCCTAGACATGGCAGACATGTCTGGGTTTGGAGCGAAACCACGTTCCTTTTGAACCTTCATGTTGGCTTGGCGTCTTTTCGATCTGCTGCTCCGGAAGGAGCGCGAGGAGCGGAAGGCCTTGCTTGAACGAGAGGCAGAAGCTCAGCAGGAGGCAGAGGAGTGGGTTCTGCCGAGGCATGCGACAGAGATCTTCCCACGGAGCTGGTACCGACTCCCTGGATATTGTGGATGGACGACCTAAGAAGCCGAACGATTCGATACCCCTGCAAATACCAACAAGCAATGGTTTCGACCATGGTTTCAAGGTGGTGCGAAATGGATTTCGTCCATCCACAGTATACAAGTCTTTTCCTTTCGCTGAGATCCAGCAACAAAAGTCAAAGGTTTGGGACTCCGGCTTGGCATCTTGCAGGATCAGCTGCAGCAGCAAAAGATGCAGGCAAGGGTTCGTGGTGTTGGGGGGTGCCTATTCTTTTTTGTTTTTCTCATTTTTTTATTTTTGGGAACAGGGTGAAACAAAGCCAAGCATTCTGGAAGCGGCCGCCCAATGATGATAGCCGCTAGTCATGACGAGATATAAGTACTTGCAATTGAGTCTCATGCAAGCTTGCTCATCAGCATGCAACCGCAGTAGTTGTGCTCCAAGATAAGCTTCGAAAGCCGACTTTGAAGACAGTCAACGCATGATCAAAGACGTTTTAGCCTCGCCACATGGGCTTGGATCAAAATCAAATTATCAGGATATGGTCCGCAGGTTTTAGTCAACTTGCTTGCATTTACCGATCGGGCAACCCATTTTGGGGGCCACCCCATTCTTGACGCAACCACAGCCCTATGGGTATGGGTCAAAATGAAGCCACCAAAAAAAACCGCAGGTTTCGGTCCATGTTTCCATCTGCCGATCGGATTCCATGGGTAGCTATTTTTGACAACCACAGCCATATCGCAGCGAGCAGTCCACTTCGAGTCCTTAAGCGCTCGCAAGCGCTCGCGAGCTCGCGGGCGCTCGCGGGCGCCGGGGCGCCACGGCGCTGCGTGGCGCGGCCATGGCGCCTTGGAGGGATGCCTGCGGTGCATACTTTTCTTTTTCTTCATTCTCCGAAATCCGAAAACATCGCACCACGAAATAAAGAGCCATGGTTGAAGCCGAAGCCAGAACTTTTTTGCAGGAGGAACCAAGCACTTTGATTTGTTGGTTTTCAGCAGGGAATGAGGGAGTTGACGACTGTTTCCGTTAAGGGAATCCAAGCTTCATTCCCAACATGGGTCATTCTCTACTGAGCAGCAGCAGAGTTGCATAAAAGGAATCATCATTGTTCACACCCTTGCGGAAGGTTGTTTCTAGGTCTATTTGTACGAGCGGGAGGTTTTGTCCATTTGCAGTACATGTTGGGCCATTGTCTTGTTTACACGCGGTTCGCAGCTGCAGCAGCCCAGGTTTCCTTGCCAGTAAAGTTGCTGGTTCTTAGGTCACAATCTCGTGGCTACGTCCTTTTGGCTTCATGGCATGAGCTGGAAACCCATCCAGATCAGAGAGTCTGGCTGGAGACCTGTGCGAGGCCCTGCGCGTGGGATTATGCCAGATGACCGCGCGCAATGACAAGGAGCCTTCCCATGCTCGTGCAAAACGCGATGCGAATTGGCTGTGGGTCAAAAATAGGTACCCAAAATGGAACCTTAGTAAATGGAAACATCCATTTTTTATTTTGCCAACCCTTTCTGGAAGGTGTTCTGTCCTCCTGATGTGCGTCGTGTGGCAAAGCCAGGGAGCCAAAAGGGACTCCACATCTTGGGGTGAGGAACTTTCTGAAGCGCAAGATAAATGTAAAGAACTTTGTTAGAAGGCCCACTTGCTCTTTTTGGGGGGAGCAAAGTGAGGGCCCATCTAAATCCGAGGTGAGCCGCGAAATCCGAAACATCGCCTCCAGTAGTTACCATAGGACGTGAACTTCCGCACCTGCGCGGCGCTGGTGTCTGAGGCCGCGGAAAAGGCGCGGCAACTGGTGCTGGCGGGGGAAGTTTGGGGTCGATGCGCAAGGGAAAGGGCGGAGTGTGGGTGTGTGAAATGGGTATGGGTCAAACTGAAACCACCAGGAAACTGCAGGTTTTTGTCCATTTGCCATTTACCAGGGTTCAAATTGGGTGCCCATGTTTGACCCACAGCCAAACGATAAATCACCGAATCGTTTCTGTTGAGAGAGTCGAAAGGAGTGAGTTAGAAAGCTACCTACTGCTATCTTCTGTGGATCGTCTTTATCCGTGTCACACAAGCCAACATGAGTACTTAGTAACCGTCGCCAATTCGGGTGGCATCATGGGGTAGGTGGCGGCGCATGCCCAATTTTGGGCATGGACTCCTCAACGAACGGCCTAGTATCCACCCACCACGGAGCCCACTGCTTCCCACCTGCTAGTTGCGACGCGTGCAGGGCAAAGCTGATTTTTTTCCAAGACCGCCCCACCACCACCTCCACCCAAAAACCACCACCACCACCACCACCACCACTCCACCACCACCACCACCTCCACCCCCACCCCACCCCCCCACCCCACCTCCCATAGGTCCCAACTCGCCCCTCCCCCCGACTCGACTCAAGGGCTGCCAGCTGGTGGCACTGCCGGAGTGCTTCGCCTTCATCGGCGCCTTCGCGGGGGAGGCCCAGAAGGCGGCGGAGACCCTGGAGGGCCCCACGCTGCAAAGCCGGGAACCCTGGCCGACACGGGGTGTGAAGAAAATGTGTTGGAGGTGGTTTTATCTGCCGATTTGCAATGGAGGAAGAAAAGGAACAGTTCTTGTAGAACATGTTGTGAAAAAGAAAGGACAAATATATTGGGAGTTTGTTCTGAAAGAGCTAGATTGAAGAAGACTTCGGAATCAACCACAATAGAATTACAATGAACATCCATTACTGAGAACTCAGAATAATGGAATGAGCCTTGGGTACGTGGCTTGTCTTTCTCGTTCCTTTCAAGCCGGATTTGAGGTCTCGTTTCGACCAGTTCAGATCTGTTCCAAGATGTCGGCTTGGAGGAGCTACGTACATTTGCGTCTTTTGCTGGAGTGCTCAGTACCATATGCTCTTATTTGCACATTCATATACTTAAAACAAAAAATAAGGGTGCACTTGAAGATGGGGATTCTGGGTTGCCTTTGAAACATGAGTGCCAGCTTCAGCTAGCTTCGAGGTGCCTCCCATTCTCGAGACCAGCTGAAAAGGGTCTGGTTCAGCTTATGCGACGCTGGAGCTTTCAAGCGATAGACTGTGGGGAAGCGATGGAAAGGAATGACTTTCACTTTCTTCTTTATTTGGTTTCTATTTTGTTTTGTTCTTTGACTTCTAGTTTTTTTCCCCCCCTCGATTCTAATTCTTCATAGCTATTTTTTGGTTGTTACCTTTTCATTTGGTATCTCTTTGTCTTCCCATCTCGAAGATTCCTACGGCATCCATAAATCCAATTAATTTCGAATACACAAACATGAAGATGTAAGATGAATGAAGCTTCCTTAGCTATAATTAGGTTTGTTTCTTTCATATCCTTTTATCTTCATTTTTAGCGAGCTCACCGATCCGGCCAACAAAAATATGAAGAGGTCCTGTACTTGGGGATTCCCCAAATCAGCTTTTTGGAAGTATAGGTAACATGTGCGGACGGGATATAGGATCTGTCAATATGGGTCTGATGGATGCGACTCCCATTGCGCTTTCGGGACGGCAGCTGTTTAAGCTTGATGGATGGCCCTCCCTGCTGTGGATGGACGAAATCCAGTTCGCACCACTTGGACACCATGCAAAAAACACGTTGTTTGTTGGCATTTCGAGACCAGGGTTGCTTAGGTGGCAAGGGATTTCGTCCATCCGCAGTATCTAGTTTGAGCCGCTCCCATGTCGTGATGTTTTCTGAATGGATCCTATGGTCGAAGCAACCTGTTCGAAAGGGAAGGAGGTTTGCCTGATCCAAGAGACTCGCGCGGATCGAGGGCTGGGGGGATTTTTTTGCGGCGCTTGCCAGGGTACAGGGACCTGGCGAAAGAGAAGCAAGTGTGGCTGTCCCTCGGAGGCGGGCGAAGTGAACAAATGAATTGAGCCACTTGCGCAAAACCCGGGTGGAAGGTTTCTCAAGGGATAATCCTCTCGCCATAAATGGGGGCAGACATTTGCCTTGTTAGTTCGGTACGTGGTGGGTAGGCCATTTTCATACCGATGGGTTGTGGTTGCGACTCAATTGAAGTCTTTGCGCGCCTTTGCCACGACGAGTTTTTTCTTTTTTTTGCGAAGGTTTCCAGGAGAGGGTGGAAGGCGAGGACAAGATTTTGAATACCCACGTCATCGTGAACTCCAAGGGTGAGTTTGCGGCAGTCTACCGTTCCTTGGACGGAACTTGAAGCAACGGATTCCTCAAACAGCAGGATCAGCATGTTCAATTCTCATTTGGGTACAGGTCAATCATGGGGCAACCCCAAAATGTGTCGGCAAATGGACACCTTTACCAAAAATAAGTAAATGTGGTCTCTTTTTTCTGGTGGTTTAGTTTGAACGCCCCCCCCCCCCTGCCCCGCCCCACCCCCCTGCCCCCCCCGTTCCCCCCCCGGTTGGACTGTTCCGCGCCGCCGAAACCGCCTGAGGCAAGATCCACCTCTTCGACGCGCCCTTCACGGGGCTGGTGGAGTCACAGCAGGCCCTGCCGGGCAAAGACGTGGCGCCTGGGCCGGGGCGGTTCGGCGGTGCGGCCGGGGCCGAAAGCCGCCGGCTTTCGGGGAAGCGCGTTGAAGCGGGTGGCCAAGTTGGGTGGGGAGTTCTAGGGCTAGCTTCCATGTCCATTCTTTCCAGGGTTTCTTTTTTTCTAAGAAAACCTCCAGAAACCCGGGAAAACGCTTGGATTTGGAACAGAACGATGGTTGAAAAGAATGGGGAATCAACCCCTAGAGGAATAGGGAAGAGACCTTTTTACCGGCGAGAAGTGGTGAGACATGCGGCTTGAGAAGAGACTTCCACGGCTGAGGTGTGCTGTGACAGCCCCGTGGGGATGCTGGGCGTGACGGTGTGCTACGACGTTCGCTTCCCCGAGCTCTACCAAGCTTTGCGCTTCCAGCACGGGGCGGACGGGGCGGCCGGCTTCGGATGGGGCTTCGGATGGGACTTCGGATTTCCATAGGCGAAATCCATTTCGCAGCACCGTTCAGAAAGCCGGGAATAAGGATTCTCCTGCAAATACCAAGCCCATGCTTCCGAGTGGTGCAGGTTTCGTCCATCCACCAGAGTTGCATAGGTGGCAGCGGGGTCAAGCATTTGGTAACCCCGAAATGGTTTGCCCGATCGGTAACAGAAAGAAGAACTAAAACCTGCGGTCCATGTCCTGGTTCAATTTTGACCCATTCCCAGGTTCGGAGCAGCGATGGGCGGCAGCAGAAAAGAAGGTCAACTTGAGGGGACGTGGATGCTGTTGGGGTCATCAGTTGCTTCAAAACTTTAGCAAGGATCTCTCCGGACAAGTTGGATGTCACCCTAATATGAATGTTTCTCAAGGTGAGAAGTCGCCTTTGCGTGCTATGTTTTTTCGACTCTCCGACACATGTTGAGACAACTCCACGTGCCAAATCTGTTGAACCCACCAGCTTTCTCTCCCTTGGCAGGCCGCCAAGACTACACTTGGAAGCACAAAAAGCAACACGTGTTTCTCTCCGGTTTTTGATTAGATGGCACACACACACACACACGGCGCGTGTTTTTTTTGGGTTGGTTCGCTGGCTTCAACGTTGAGGCACCACCCCAGCCCCCAGCCAGCCCAAACCCGAGAGCTCTCCGAGCTCTCCGAAGGAGCTGTTGCTGGTGCCTTCGGCCTTCTCCATGCCCACGGGCGAGGCGCACTGGGAGCTGCTGATGCGGACCCGGGCCCTGGAGACCCAGTGCTACGTGGTGGCGGCCGCGCAGGCGGCGGCTTTTTCGGCTTGGGGTTTTGGTTTGGGTCGGAAGGGCTCAAGAAAAGACGGGTGATCGGGTGCGAAATCGGTGGGGAATGAGAAATGGAATGAACCGTTTTGGGTCCCCTGAAAGGAAACCACCAGTTGGATGGTTTTTGTCGATTCCATTTCTCGTTCCCAGCAAGAAGAAGGGGGGTCTCAATTTGAAGTCTTGGTGTAAAGGGGAGGCCAAAGCCCATTTCTGGCGGTTTTGATTGTGAGAATCTGGGAATGGGCTGGATTTTTTGCAGGTCTTCAGGTACGGATTTCCCATAAAGCTGAAGCGTGCCCGGCCTCGCGGAGTTCGTGTTGTTGGCGTGGAGCAACCCCGGAGGCAGGCCAGCACAATGAGGACGGCAACAAGCGTCAGTCCTGGGGTCGTGCGATGGCGGTGGATCCATGGGGCAAGGCGGGAATGAGTTCTCAGTTCTGAGTTCCGTCTCTTGAAGCCAAGGGCAAGAGGCAGAGCTTGTGGGAACTGAGGAACTGTGAAGGTCTGTCTCTTGAGCTTGTTCTGTCTCTTGAGTCTCCACTGAGTTCTGCATCCAAGGGAGCAGCAGAAAGCAGCTTGTGGAGCTCCTTCTCAGTTCCGCTGAGTCCCGTCTCTTGCCTTTGAAGCTAAGGGACGCAGCGGAAAGCAACTTGCGCAACAGACCGTGGGACGTGTAAGAAGTCCAGGGAAGTCTTTTTGCCACCTGGTGTGCCCTTGAAGTGAAAGATTCCTTTTTCAGAGGGTCGCCAATTTTCTCACAAATGGTAGCAAAAAGACCCCCCGGAAAGAAGTCCTTCTCGCCAGGTGCTGGCAGAGTTCGATGGCACCTCCACTGGCGTCAAGGTGGTGGAGATCAAGCCCGATGCCATCCAGGAGCTCCAGTGCATGTGGATGGTGGTGTGTCTTTTTTTGAAATGGCATCCGTTTTCCTTTTGGGATTGCGTCATGTTAGTGGAAGGGACGCCTTTCCATCACTCGAACGAGAGTTGTGTTTTGGATATCCATGGATATCCCTTGAGCTGATCAATTCACCGGTGATTCTGTTCCAAAAGTTCGCCACTTTTGGTGGTTCCAAAAAGGGAAACAGAGGAAGACCTAACGTTCTTCAACCGATGCGCGCTGGAGAGCTCTTCGGCATTTGTCACCCTTCTAGGGGTTGATTCCCCATTCTTTTCAGCCATGGTTTTTTTTTCAAAACCAGCCATTTCCCCAGGGATTTTGGTGGTTTTCTAGAAAGAAGGATCCCTGGAAAGAATGGACATGGAAGCTACCCCTAGAACCCTGGCTGCTTCGCGGCTAGCTTCCTGGCAAGGAGGTCCGCAACAAGATGCCGCTGGCGATTCAGCGGCGCTACGACATCTATGGCCCCAAGGGCGAGTGAGAAAAAGACCTCAGAGATGTGGCTGTGGGTCAACACCAATGGTATCCCATTTTGATTGGTAGGTGCACCACCCATTTTGGTCGGGATTTTAGTGGGGATTGGGATGTTCACTGGGGGTACGGGGATTTGACCCACACCCATGTGCTGCAATTGCGTTACGACTTGTTCCCAATCAAGCTGCTTTCCCCAAACACATCCAGTAGGCATGCGTTTGGTGGCGTTGTTAGGGTCAGCTTGTCAGTCCCTCTGAACCCAGATGAGCCACAATCATTTTCTGGGTACTGTACATGCAGTTGGGTAAGAGGCAACCCCAGAAACGCCCTTGGATTCTTCACATGATTTTGGATAGACTCCGTTACCCTTTTTCCAATGGAAGTGGACAGGAGACCTTTTCAAGGTTCAGCTCACCACGAGCAGTTGATTTGCGAGGGAGGTCCCGCAACCTCCTTGGGAAAAGAAGGAAGCAACTCACGGAGCTCCGCACAAGCCCCCTCATGAGGCCATTCTCCAAAACGGGACACATCAAGGTGGTTTGCCTTTGGTGTTCCGTTTAATCTTTAGAATCTTTAGATAACGACCCACAAGTCCCCCCAACCCCCCCCCCCCCTGGTTGGAGCCTCGCCTCTCTGCCAGGCCAAGACCTCTGCGCAGGCGGCGGCGCACGGGGAGCTGCAGGCCCTGAGGAGGCGACTCTTGGAGAAGGAAGCCCAGCAGCTGCAGCAGCTGCAGGCGGGCTGGAACCTGAAACCTGAGCCGCCCACCCCCCACCCCCCCCAAAAAACCCAAAAAACAACAAACAACAAAGCAAACAACCCGAGGCCCCAAGAAAGGGCTGGCTGGTCCTTGTTTTTTGAAGTCACCCCCCTGGTTTGGGTGGCTTTTTGAAAGGAAACCGGGGGGGCTACCGAAGCCAGTTCTTGGGGGGTAGCACACAAAAAAGAGGCCCAACCGAGGACATGTCTGCAATTTTGCTCAATAGATGGTACCTGGACCCTCAAACTACCCATGAAAATGGGATATCACCCCATAATTTTGGGGGGTCAAACCCATTTTTAAGGGAATTTTGAGGGTCCAGGTACCCACAATGGCACCTTGTGGAAACAAAGGCTAAGGCTGATTTTCAGAATTGTGAGCGACCCAGTTTTGTGAGTTCTACTACCTACAGAGGGACACCTTTACTAGAGCATTCTGGCCAAAAGTCAATGGGTTTGCTTTTAGTCTCTTCCAAACATGGTGGATATGTTGTCCACCCTTTGGTGTCTTTCGTCAAGGGGAGCCATGGGGAGGATTATGGCCCATCAACGCCTCTGCTTGGAGGGAACTGGCACAATGATCATATGAGTGTACGGCCAGGGACCTTTTTGGCCGCTTTGGGTTCAGAGGTTCTCTCCCTGGATTAGTTCCGATTATGTGAGGCCCAAGCCGCGTAAATGCGTGGGTAGCAGAAGTCAATGGGTGAAGGTTATTTTTCTTGTTCACTTTCTTGAGTATCAGTTTGAACATGAGTCCAAATTATGTGAGGCCCAAGCCAGCGTATTCATGTGCCAGAAGTGAATGGGTCAATTCACTTTCTGGGTTTCACGTTGAGAACATCGCCTGAGCCGGGCTTGAAGCATGGTGGGTCCCGTCCATTTTAATGCGGATGGGTTTCGAAGAGGACTCACCTCTCTTCCTTCTCTTACTGTCCTCTCTTTCCGTGAAATCCAGAATGGATTGGTGAGTGACGGAGATAACGAGAAGACAGACAGGTGAAAGACGTTCGGGGCCAAACCAACCAAAACCGCCGCGGTTGTAGCGGCCAGGTGCTGCGGCAGCAGGTGGAGGCCTCGATTCGGATTCGCCGGACCCGTTCGCCGGTGCACGAGGGCCCAGGGGGGTCCAGTGGAGTCAGGCAAGTGGGTGGCTCGTCGGTTGTTTCGGGATCTTTTCGTTTGGGGGGTTGACGAGTCAATGAGAAGGTCCGTAAAACATGGGGTGACCATTGGTCCATTGGTTGGACCTCCACGAAAAGAAGGCCAGAGGATATTTCTCCCACCTGGAACAAGTGGCCCATGGCCCATGGTCAAGGCTGGGGGCCTTTCAGGGAACATGGCAATGGCTTGGGAGTTTTCCGGTGGTTTCCCATAACAAGCCCGCCAAAAAGGGGGGAAACGGTATCCCAACTCCCAAACACTTATGGTTTCGTTTGAACAGAACGCCCACCAAAAAGGGGGGAGTTGGTTGGTAACTACCAACTCCAAAAAAAAAGGAACGCCACCAAAAAGGGAAGGGAAAGGGGGGGAGTAACTTTGATTTCGTTTGTGAGACCTTTATGCTTTACCAACCCCCCCCCCCGCTCCCCCCAAACCCCCCCCCCCCTTCCCCCCCCAACTTCCCCCCCCAACCTCCCCCCCACCCCCTCCCCCCCAAAGAACGCCGCGCGCAAGCCCCATGGAAGGCCGAGGAGCAGCTCCAGCAGCAGCTGGCTGAGGGGGAGCTGCATGAGGCGCGGTGGGAGGTCCCCGGTGGGGTGGTCGTCTTGTGCTCACGCTGTTGGGCCGTCGGTTTTGTTCTTTGGAGGACGTACAAGACAAGAAAAAAGCAGGTGTTTTTTCTTTTTTTTTGGGGGGGGGGGGGGGGGGTGAAACACACATGGGTTCATTGTGGGGACGCCTGGGGGATTTTCCCTTCCTATTTCACTTTCTATCATTCCCTTCATACTGTGGATGGACGAAATCCAGAAGTCGCACAACTTGGAATCCATGCAAAACCAGTGTTTGTTGGTGTTTGGAGGGGAATCATCAGAAACCAGGGTTTCTTAGGTGGTGCAGGAGTTCGTCCACCTACAGTATGGCTGTGGCGCAAAAAATGCTGCCCCAAATGGCACTATGATAAATGGAAACAAAGACTGAAACCTGCGTAACCCTAGCTCCTTCATTTTGAGCCACACCCATATACCTCCCACCAATTCACATGGAACCTGACGGGGAAATGGTCCCTTGAACAGGAAGATGGTTTCCAAACCAGGACCCCCCGAACGTCAGGTTCCGTGTTAATTGGTGGGAGGGTAAGACGTGGACGAAATCCTGCACTAGTGCAGAATGGCGCAGGATTTCCATCCACAGCATAGTCTCTGCACCTGGCCTTTGCGTTGCAACACTGGCCCTGGTGGGCCCCCGCCACGTCGCTTTGGGCCTGGCGTCAGAGTCTGCCCACATTGAAAGCCCACTGCAACAATGATCCAATCATATGGCAGTGGTTGTCAAAACCGTTTTGGGATCCCATTTTGGTTGGTAGGTGAGTTCACCACCCAACCGGGATTTTAGCGGTTGGATGGGGATGTTCACTGGGGGCTAACCGATTTGGATTCTGAAAAGCCCATGGCCATATCGCCAAAGGGCCAACCTGTCGCCAGCGTCTCCGGCGGCGCGGCGCGATGTTAGGAGGAGCACCAGGACTTGCAGCGGCTCACGGAGCAGCGGGCCGAGGCCAGCCGCCAGCGCTGGGAGCCCCGAGGTCCAGAAGACCCGTTTCGCAGGTCTCCGAAGGAGGGGGCCATTGGTGGGGTGTGTTCGAAAGACCATGAAAAGAAGGGTTGGGTTAGTATGCGCACCATTTTATTGGGTTCAAACCACCATTAAAACAAGGGTTGGGTTAAGACAAGCATCATTAGATCATTTACCAAAAGATGTTCATCCAATTTCCTTGGCATTCTTTTAATGGGGGCCAGGAACTCTGGCCCAGGGGCACCTTGTGTGTTTGGTTCACAAGGGGAAAATTGGAATCCAGGATGTACCCAAGAAGATTGAACTCACTCCCTAGGTGCATGACAATTTGTGGACACGCATGAAGGCATTTGAGGGACTTTGGGACTCCGGAAAATCACTTGGAAAACGGAAAGGACACATTGAAGCTGCCCAACTGGGAGTCAGCGATTGGGGCGGACCTCCAAAAGGCGGACCTCCTTCCTTGTAACCTTCCTGAAACTAGCCCTTGGAAGCCACGCCCTGAGGGTAGGCTGACAAAAAGACAGGGCTCCCCAGTTTTTCAGATCCCCCCTCCTTTTTTTTGTAACCCCCCAACTCCCCCCCTTCCCCCCCCCTCCCCCCCACCAACTAGGCATGCCACTTGGGAGTGGGTGTTCCGGGCACTTTCCCAGGCGCCCAGGAGCTCCAGCGAGAGTGGGAGGCGCGCTTCAGCGGCTTTCGTCGGAAAACACGCCCGGGTTTGGGGATTGGGGTCCCACGAGTTTTCCCATTTTGGCTGTTTTGAACAGCACGCTTTTTTGCCCCATGAAAAGTGAGTGGCCCTTGGTGAGGGTGATGCTTTGAGGGGAAATCTCGGGAGCCCTGTTTTGGCTCACTGGGAAAGCTACAATATTCACCGAAGTGTTCAGCTCCGGTCTTGGGCTGCAGTGGGCAGCTGGGAGGTTCTCGCACAATAGATGCTTCAAGAACCCCGAACGGCAAGTGGAGATGGCTTCTCCACAGAAGAATAGGTGTCCTTCTTGGTTGATTTGGTCGAAAAATAGATAGCCCTGGTTTACCTGGTGGTTCAATCAGCTACCAGGGCCATCTATTTTCCCAAAAAGGACACCTATGTGCAGCAGTCTCAGCAGCTATGCACATCTTTGCGCAGAAGGCTGCAGCGCAGCAGCATTTCCAGCGCCGCTCTCACTGCAAAAGGGTGTGCAGCTTGGCAAACTGGGCACCTGTACGGCGCTTGCTGTTCATATTTTGCATGGCCACGGGGATCAGCACATCCAAGCAACTGCCCATGGAGCCTTCGCTGCCAGCCTTGCATCTGGGGCAGTTGCGACCTGGGGTCGTGCAGACCGGGGGCGGAGACAGCAGCCAGGTGCGAGAGTAGCTGAGCAACATCCAGCACATCAAAGCAACTCCGCTGCCTTTGCTGCCATTTCTTGAATCAGGGTCGGGTGTGACCTGGGGTCACCCCAACTGCGGCGGCAACAGCAGCCAACCTGGGGCTTTTGTGACGACTGCTTCAGGCAAATTAGAGGTGAACCCGGGAGTTAAACGCACCGATGCCGGAAGACAATTTGTGAGCAGCTCACCAATTTGCAGCCTTTCCCATGAGCTTTGTCGCTGTGACTAGACAACAAACAAATCGGGCCCGCAAATAGTCAGGGGACCCCTCTTTTCCGATGATCAATTTTTGAATGCTGAATCATCCCTGAAATGAGATGTGCCATGCTCAAGCAAACGCACACCCTCTCACTCGGGGTTGGACGGGATGGTCATGGACTCTTTGGTCGGTGTGCACAACCAGTGGAAATGCTCCGGAGCCATGTTCCTGGCACCGACGGTAAGCGCGTTTAAACATTGTTAGCAGCAGCGTTAGACAAGGGTGCTATTGACTGGGGTTGGGTCAAGTTTGTGTGTAGTCAATGGTCCATTTGCGAGGTGCGAGAAGGGGTTACTCGGTTGCTCACTCCATTTGCGCCAGCGCCAAGGGCACAAGCCCTATTTGTAAACGCTGGGCGCTGCCCGCCTCGGCCAGGCCAAAAGATAAATCACAAAGAGCGACGCCGCTTGCTTGAGCAAATGATACCGGGGCTGGGCTGAGCAGTCTGGTGGGCTGCTGCGCAACGTGGTTCCTCAAGAGGTGCTGAGCTGCCTTGGACTGAGCCGTTCTTTTCCGCAACGCAAAGCAAAGAACGCCGTAGGCGCCAGAAAAGCAAGGGATGTGCCGTCCCACTCTTGGGCTCTGAGGCCGTGGGCTTTGCCCAGCTGCGTGAAACCGGCTGGGCTGGGCTTGCAGGGCTTGGGCTGACTGGCTTCTGGTTGATTGAGTTGCGCGGGGGCTGAGTTGCTTTTTTGAGGGGGTTGGGGGAATGAGGTTTTTTTTGCTTAGACCGGCTCTTTGCTCAGCGCCGGTTTTGGGGGCAGCGCAGATGGCGCGACTTCACCTATCGCGCCGCCGTGTGCAAGAGCAACAGCTAGCGCAGCAGCGCCGGCGTCGGCGTCGACAGCGGCAGCAACGGCGCCGAGTTTGCAAACACAGCAGGCAGGAAGCCACGAGTCATTCCAAGGAGCTTTAGAGAGGATCCGGCGCGAGCTCACCAAAATCGATCCGGGCCAGACTGTCCAGGCCAGCGCTGTTCCAGAGCCGGCTCAGACACAGTTGAAGAACACGCAGAGAGAGGAAACCGGTGCTGAAGGAGCAGTCTCTATATAATGCTACGAGGAGCCTTGGGCGACCATGGTTTCGAGCGAATCCAGATGGCGAGGTGCAGTGGGGCGGAGAGGCTATTAGCTTCCACACCAGGAGAAGCGCAGTAGCATGCCTTTGTACTCAGAATACGAAGATGCGCAGACAACGCAGATGATGCAGTGGACATGTGCTACGTGACCAGAGCATTCATGCCATTGCCCTTGGCTGTAGTTTGGATTGTCCAGTTGGCTTCTGGAAAGCCGGACCAGTTTGTCTTGGATATGTTTTTCACTTCGCTTGCGAACAGCTTGCGCAAAGACGTGTGCGTGGAGCCGTTTCCCGAAGACCCATCCATACAAGTGCGACCACGTGACACTAGCGTCGGCACGTCGCCAGCGTTCAACAGGATGAAGAAAGCATACTTGACAGCCATGGCCGCTGAACGCGAGCCATGTCCACCCGCAGATTGAGAAGATGCGCGAACGCAAAGGACATGTCGTGATTCTGAGCCTAACCAACTACCGTCGGATTCATACAAACCGGCCGTATTGATCGAAAAGAGCACATGGACATTCGCAAGCTTTTAGAGGCAGCAACAGGAGCTGGGTCACAGCAACCGAGGAGCAAGCGCGCGCACCCAAGAGCTCGCAAAAGGAGCAACGGCAATGCGAGCGCCGCCGCAGCTACAGCAGATCGCGCCGCAAGTGTTTTCGAGCAACACTAGCAACGTCAGCGTCTGTTTGCTGCAGCAAGTGCAAGTCTTTCGAGACTGGCGGGCGCCTGCGGAATTGCGACGGCAGCTTGGCTTCAGCGGACGCACCACAGTGTCTTTTGTTTGCAAAGGAGCGCGTAGTGGAAATCGGGCAGAGGCGCTCTTGTGATCACTTGTTGTTGGCAAGCGCGTGGCAATCGCGGGTGTGGCAGAAGCTTGCACGGACTATGACTTGGGTGTTACGTAAGGATGCCTTCGGGTGTGGGTTGCGCGCAGCGCTGGGAAAGAGCGGGTACGCCGTTTGCGCCTGCAAATGCGAGCCGGGTTTGGTTGCAGAAACGCAAGCGAGCAGGACATTGAGGCTGTTCTGAAGCCTGGCAGCGCTGCTATATTTTGGGGCTGGTGCCTAAAAGCCAGAAAGAAACCACCCTTGTTGTGGGTTCCCGACAAACTGATCGGTTTTCTTTCGGGTTTGCTCCAATAAGCGCAAGTCTGAAAGCATGCGCAGCACGCTTGGCGCAGTAAAAGGCGTGACGCCATTGCCTCTCCTCGATGTGACAAGATCGCGCGCAAGGCGTTCGGTCTGATTCGGCAACCCACACCGGTATCCAGTAGCGGTCACGCATTGTCTGATCTAGCAGCTTTTTGCAATCAACACGACGGCAACTAAGGCATTCAACGACGACCAGATCAAACCCATTGCGCACCAATCACTGCTAGCTGGCAGCAGAGACACCGAGACCTTTGGACAATCAACCACACTACCAAAGAACTCCATAGAGTTCATGTTTCAAAGAAGAGAGCGTTGTTCGCATCTGACACAAGCAAAGCTTGTCCAATTGCACACGCGCACACAGATTTACAACCAAAGATTAACCAACAGATTCCAGGCAGAGACAAGAGAACCACTATCTTCAATCGAAGATAAATGGCGAATCAGGGCAACGTTGCCAAGGACAACTCCAGAGTTGCGGACAGGATTCACAATCTTCAAGCTCTCTGACAAACCACTTACAGCAGAGCAAGTTCACTTTGACAAGATGGCCCTGAAAAGTCAAGTTATTACCTGCCAGCATCAAATGTACGAAATCTAATATTGCTAGTACTTCATTGTGTGTTCCCAGTACTAACTTCAGTTTCGCCTCTACTATATCTAGTGTTGCCAGTACTAAATTTAGTAGACTGCCAGTGCTAGATTTTGTATCACCAGTACTGAATTTAGTATCGGGGGCTTGCTTCGCGGATTTCAAGCGCGTGTTAGAGTGGCGAGTTAGACAGGACCACAGCTCAACAAGGTTTATTTCTAGCTCCATCCAGCCATATCGATGGGAAGCTGCTTGGGACCCTTCCGGATGGTTGGTTTCAAATCATGCTAGTGCCGGCAAACCAACCATGTGCAAAGAAGGCCTGGTGATCATCCAGGAGGGTATTTATTAATTTGACTGCCACCATTAACAACGGTTGAGTCGTTTGCTTAAGAATGTCTGTTATTCTCGCCCGTTGGCTCAAAGGGGGATCCATCGCTGCTGGGCATACTTGTTCCACGGGGCTTAAGCAAACAGTTGTTGGGCGAAGTCCAAGCTAGCCGCTTCGGGTAGACGCAGTTTAGTACGGGAGAGTCCCAACCATTAAGTTTCTTTGCATATCCGCCCTTTGTAATTCTAGACATGGCTTTGGGTAGGCCATGCTAATTTCATCCGAGAGTGTGACCATGCAGCTGACCCTGTCGAAATATCAGGTTTTGATTATGTTTATGCTCGCTGCCAAGTTGGGAGAAGCTGAGTTGCAAGGAGGCTTGTTCTCTTTATGCAAACATGAGTTGGCCCCCCACATGACATGAACAACGGGAGTGGGGACTGGTTTTCCATGACTAACTTGCAATTGCATTTCGATTTGGGACTTGGTGAAGCATGGCTGGGACATTGCTTGCTTTCACATGAATGGGGATCCGGTTTTCTTGTGATGCTTCCCTTGGAGCGGGGAGACATTCCTGTACAAATGAGTTTCTTTGGGTTCCATATGTCAATATGGCTCCATGTAAAACTGCAGGGGAGTAGGTGTTTGTTTCGGCGTGCCAAACTTGTCAGTCAACCACAGAGGCGGTTATAACAACATCCAACCACACAATGGTGTTGGCCCACTGTGTTGCCAAACTGGTCAACCAACAGCTGTCACGAAGAGCTTTTTGGTTTCCCTTCAACTAACTCCCCAAGAAAGACAAACTCAGTGGCGGCCCTAAGCCGTAGGGGACACTCCCAACCATGAACCTTGAACCTGTGCCAGGTGCAGTCATTCCACCGGCAGCTGGAGCACACTGAGCAGAGTGCGGCCGTCCGAAGCCCCAGTGCGGAACCAGCTTTGGGCCTCTCGTGCCGAGCGGCAGGAAGTTCTCCGAAGTTTTGAAAACAAGTCTTGCTGCCCTGCCGCGGTGCTCGTCTCTTGGATTCGGACACATGGGGGTTAGTGATTGATCGGAGCGGGTGCCTGGCGCTCGAGGAGCTGGAACGTGACCGGAAGATGGTGGCGGCAGCTGCAGAGAAAGTGCGGCAGGAGGACCGTGCTGGTGCGAGTCCGGCTTTCTGCTTTGCACCTGGGAACAGGACTTGCAGAGCGAGATGCAGAGGTGCCGATCAACTTTCGATGTGGACCTCGTTTCTGGCTTCTGCTCTTCCATGAGAATTGAGTTGACCTCAGAATTTCCAGAGGTTGCTTGTTTTGGCCAAGCACCAAGTCCAAGCGGATGGCCCTTCTTGGGCCATGGTGAATGTGGGGCCCTGCCTTTGACAGGGCCTGCCACTTGACCCTCACGCGCCATGCGCGCGGATCGCGCGGTTGCGGTTGCGCGGTGTTTGGGGGTCCAGGCGCCAGCTGCAGCGGGCGCTGGCGGGGGAGCTGGAGCGGCTGATGGCGCAGCAGGCGGAGCGACGGGAGCAGCTGGCCGGGAGCCAAGGGTTGGGGTTGGGGGGATGGGGGGATGGGGGGATGGGGGCATGGGGGCATTGGGGGCATGGGGGGATGGGGGGTTGTTGTTTTTGGGTTTCTTTTTCTTTGAAGGGCAAAACAGCCACCCAGAGTGGGGGAAGGAGTCGGAAGAGGAAGGGAGCAAAGAGGGAGGCAGGGGGGGGCAGGGCGGGGTCTGAGGCTCGCGAGCAGCAAGCGGCGAGCCCAGAGAAGTTGTCACTTTCTCGGAGAACATTTTTAGCTCCTGGCGACCAGTCCGTCCATCCTCTACACTCTCTCACATAGAGATCAAGGCATAGAGCGTGGACGGATAGGACGTAATCAGAGATGAGTGTCTTCAGCTGGTCGCAGGAGACAATCCCCACTTCAACGCACAGTGACCCTAGAAATCTCGCGAAAGAGGCCCCCCGTAATTACCCCAGGACGGCTCGGAGGTTTTCAATGCTCCCAAAGCAGTGCGTTGGAGCCACAGGCTGCAGTGGACCGCGCGAGTGTAGAGCAGCGTTGCAGCCTCAGATCCGTCCAACCGCAAGAAGCCGCGCCACATTTCTCTTGAGCACAAGCATCCCAAAACTTGCTTAGGGTTTGGGAATGATCCTGGGGATTCCCTCAAAGGAAACCACAAGAGGATAAATTTATGGGGTTCATTCTATTACCATTTCCTGCCTTTCGTGCCATCCGAACAGTTGGTCTCCAGTTTTAGGACCCCAGGTGCAATAAAGCCTGTGGACCCCGCCGGCTCGAGGTGAGAAAGCTTCCTTTTGGCAGCGCTTGGCACAGGAGGGCCCCAGTTTTTGTCCATGTGGGTTGATCAAAAGGTCCGAAATACATGGGATGAGCATTGGTTAGAACAAGACATGATATAGTAAAAGTTAGGCATGGTCAAAACTGGGGGGGGGGGCGAAGGGAATATTGATCAATTCCATGTGGCAGTCCCGACGCCCGTATGATGCACACTTAGGGTCTATTTGCAGCCACCTCCTTTCAAAAGTTTTAGGGTATTGGGATCTCAGGGTTCTTTGGGGCTGCAACCTAAAAAATGCTCCAACTCTGCATGGCCCCACCCTTCCCCGCCGCCCCCCAACCGCCCCCCAACCGCCCCCCACCGCCCCCGCCCCCTACCGCCCCCTTAAACCGCGCTCTTGCTGGGGTCATTATTTTTGACAGTTTCTGGATTTATCAAAGTCAGAAAATGGGATCGGTTGTTTCCCTCTAACCGTTCAGCGGGTGACTTTGATAATGGCAACATGAAGCTAGCGCCAGGAGCGCTGGGCCGCGGAGTCGGCGCGCGGCGCGGCACTGCAACGCCTCCAGCAGCAGCTCCGAGGGCAGCAAAACGGCGCCCAGCGCCTGGCCAGGCGGAACCGGAGCGGTCGAAGCGATGGGACGGAGAGAAGTACGCGGTCCATTGGCCCATCCCTTTGTGAGGGAACCCTCTTCTTGTGGGGGGTTGGTACCCCGTGGGGTACCCATTTTTTTTGGGGGGGGGTTGGTTCAAAGGGAAACCACAGGAAAACAGCCACAGTGTCAAAAGAGTTAGTGTTGCCAAAGACTGTCTGAGACCACTACAACGTGCTGTGATTGTACGAACTGGGCGGGGCTAACTGACAGTACAAGACCAGGACCGCCCCCACCATTGTTTGATCGCAGGGAGCAAAAGGAGCACGGCGACCATTGCTTTTTTCAAGGGGAACCCCTGGGTTTAAGTCTGGCATAGGGGGAGTCAAAGCTATGGCCCCTGACCCTGGTGCCGCCTTCCGCCGCCTTCCGGGAGAGACCAACCAGGGTCCCTAGTTTTCACCACTCCTGGCCTGAAGCCGGTAGGTTGCAGGAGCTGCTGCGTGAGGAGGAGGCTTTAGCTCGCCAGCGCGACCAAGAGGACGGATAGATTTTGGTACGGAGGGAGGAATGGCCGCTGTTTTGCGTGATGGGTGCCACAACGCAAGTTTGTTTCTTCTCATTTTTTTTTAAAATAAAGCTTCTTTCTTTTTTTTAAGCCTTCCCGAACCCTCTCTTCAAGGGGGGGTCCGCAAAAGTCTTCCAACACCCTCCTGTCCATGATTGTTGGAAAGAGGGCATTTGAGCCATAATCAAAATCCGGGCAAGTGAAGGTTAGTAAGGTTTGGGTAGACCATTTGAATTCAGGTCTTGATGACTCATTTGGGTGTGGGTACATAAATAGGGTACCCTCCCACCAACTAACATGGAAGTGCACAAAGCCCCTTTCCTCTTGGAAAGTAGTCTTTCTACACGGGTCTGTGCACAAACCCATGTTAGTCGGTGCAAGGGTAACCGCCAAAAAATGGATGGCCGTGGACCGGTGTCAACGCCCATCCGGTTTTGATGACTCGTTTGATGCTCCAACTGGGTCACTTCTCACAGGAAGCGGCGCTGCGGCGCCGCCTGGAGGCCCGCGCCAAAGCCGCGCAGGCTGCGCAGGAGAGGGCGGTTTGTTTTGGGCTCCCCGTGGGACGGGCAGGGGAGGAGCATCAAAAAGTCCAATGTTTTAGGGATCCAAGAAGAACATGTAGGGGATCAACATGAAATTCTTGAGACCTAGTATTCTGGTCTCGGCAGTGTTCCACTGAATGTGGGCTCCAGGAAAAAACGTTCTTCCTGGCTTAGTGGAAGAAGACATTCCGCCAATTTTGGGCTTTCTGGACAAGGCATCTGCCCCTATTGGTGCAACATGTGTGCGTAAGTGAGTGAGCCGCTGTTGGCCTCATGTGCGCCAACAGGCGAATGATGCGAGCGAAAGGTGGCCCTCCAACCGCAGGACGGCATCCGGGCACTTGAAGCAAGAGCTAGAGCGCAGCAGGACCTGGCGTTTTCTCCGAGCCAAAGCTTCATGGGGCTTGATCAAGATTCCGTTCCCTCCCCCCCCCGAAATGGCAGTGGGTCAAGAATAGGTATCTAAAATGGAACCTGGGCAAATGGAACCAAGGACCAAAGCCTGCGGTCCCCTGTGCATTTATTTTTGACCCACAACCAAATGACCCTGAGTAGCTCTTCTCATGTAGTGGGAGCTATCATCTTTTTGGTGGCTTTCCCCGATCTTCATCCCGTGTGTTGTCGAACTTTTGATCAGTCCCCTCATGAGATGGGTGACATTGGTTTCAACACTGAAGATCAAGCTTGGGACGGTTGGATGCTTATCCCCCATGCAGTTGGTACTCCTGCATATGCAGCTACATGCATGAGTCATACACTTGTAAGCTAAAAGCCTCACCATCAATTTTTGTTGGGGAACTGCCCACGCTGGGGTTAATTCTTCGCGAGGGTCCTGCCAGGCTGAAGAGGACGAGTGGCGCCGGCGATTCGTGGAGCAACGCGCGGAGGAGGAGGGCAGGGACTCTCGCAGTGTCTTTTTGCAATATGTTTTTCTCGTCCATGTTGTGTCTTCTGTTTTCAAGGCTCTTGGGGTCTTCCTACAGTTTATGACAGCCATTTTTGGGGGAGATCGGTGTGAACCCGCGATTTCCGGGGCCTCTTTTGGACACATCCGTGGTGTCCTCTTGTTACGACCTCGCGTTGCCGAATCTTCAGTCAGAAGGAGCGGCTGGAGCAGATGGGGCAGCAGAAGCCGGGCTGCCCGGTGCATTTTCTGGCTGAGCTGGCTCTGCAGATGCCCATATCCAAGAAAACATATGACTTTGAGGAGGAACGCTTTTTGGGGGGATCCGCCTTTCCATATTCTTCATGGGGAGTGAGCCATATCCCCCAAGCATGGCCAGTATACCAGCGCACAAGTCCTTCCATCGCAAAAGGCTAGTTTCAGCCTGATCCTTGCAGCTTCCTGCTTCAGGCAAGGGAAGACGGGCGGGAATTGGACCGGCCGCGAAAAGTTGTGGCGCCCTTCCAGAAAAAAACGGGTCTCCACAGGCGCCGCATGCGGCTGCTGGCCTTCCGGCGTGAGGCGGTTTTATTCGCAACCAGCTTCCCTGCCCGCTTTGGTGCGTTTTGCCAAGGGATGTTAGGACTTTAGCTTTTTGCCAACTGGGTGTGGACTTGCGTAATTCTGGGTTTCAAGGGTCAGCGATTTTGGGGTTTGGTGCCCTTGCAAAAGTTCCCAAGCGGGAAATGTCAGTTTTTGGTCTGAAACACATGAAAATCTCAGCATCAGAAATTGTGTTTGTTTTGGCCCAACAAATCCTGAATTGCAGCCCCCCCCCCCCCCCCGCAATTGAGGATTTAGTTGCCCCAACAAATCTTTCATTACTAACCCCCTGTCAGTAAGGGCGCCCTAGCAGCTCAGGAGTCGTCGGGCCCCAAAAGTCGTTCATTGCTGATTCAGTCTTGCGGCCCTCCCAAGTCCTTCGTTGCTGGCCCGCTCTCAGAAATTAAGGACGGTTGAGTGCCCAAGAAGCCTTATTAATTGCTGACCCATTCAGCAATTCTGGAATTGTTGGTCCCAAAAATGTTTCTCTCACCCCCTCACACAGATAAGGATTTTGTGGGCCTCACACATCCTGACTTTCTGACCCTCGTCGCATTTGAGGAACGTTCTATATCATGAATCCTCCAAATCGTCGCTTGATTCCAACTTGCTGGAAACTCAGAGTTTGCGACTGGCAGCATGGACTATACACTTAGTGGCTGAGAAGAATCAAGGATGGTGGTGGCCAAAGAAACTGAAGGACTTCTGCCCCCCCCCCCCCCCACTCAGAAAAGAATATGTTGATCATTCAATGTTCACAATGGCCCATCCTCAGCGATTGCTGCAACTGCAAAACAGCAAGCAAGGAAAGCGCTAGATGAAACTCTTGAAATCCGAAACTTCCTCTCATCCACAAAGGGTAATGGCTTGAGTGTCTGCCAAAAAGTTGCCAGCCGTCAGCAATGTCAGGTTTGTCCATCCAATGCAAAGTTTTAGCAACTAAGGAGCTGGTCGGCCAGAAATTGTGAATTTCTATGTTGGGCGGGCTAACAATTGTGCACAGGATACTTGTTGTTGCCTTTGCAGAATCCTACTCACTGAACAAAGCTGCTTGTCCTTGTCCTTTTTTAGCCAACAAAGCCCAGTTTCCCGACAAGCTGTTCACTACGGGTCAGTAGTTAAGGAATTAGTTTGGGGCCGAATATCCCTTAAATGCTGGACGGGCGGGGGGGGGGGAGTGTCAGCAATTCGGATTTGTGTGGGCTGAACAAAGCCTTAAATGCTGAGGGGGTGTCAGCATCATTGTTTTTCAGCTGCTGAGGGGGGACGTCAGCAATTGAGCATGTGTCGGGGCCGGAAAAGCCTTTTTTGCTGGGGGGGGGGCGGGGGTGAGAGATTGAGTTTTTTGATTCTGAACTGCCGAGGTGTTTCTGGCGCCAAAAAATAGTTGCTGAAGGGGGGCAAGAAAATCCTCAGTTGCTGAGGGGGGGGGGGGGTTCAGCAATTGAGGATTTTGGGATCGAAAAATCATTTGTTGTTGAGGGGCGGTCAGCAAGTATTTCGGAGGGCAAAGCGGGGGGTCAGTGATTGAGGATCTTGAGGGGGCCGACAAATCCAGCGTGAGGGCCGTAAAGTAAAATTCCGCTAACAAATCTTAATTGCTGCACCATTTCCTTAAATGCTGAGGGGGGGTCAGCAATTAAGCTTTTTGCAGGTAGTTTTGAGCGCATTTTGGATTCCCAATAGGGGTGTTTTATACACCTATTGGGAATCCAAAATGCGCTGAAAACTACCTGCAAAAAGCTTAATTGCTGACCCCCCCTCAGCATTTATGGATTTTTCGGCCCTCGCGCCCCCCGCAAATCCTTAAATGCTGACCCCCCTCCGCCCCCCCGCAAATCCTTAAATGCTGACCCCCCTCAGCATTTAAGGATTTTTGGGCCCTCGCGGCCCCCCGCAAATCCTTAAATGCTGACCCCCCCTCAGCATTTAAGGAATTTTTGCCCCTCCCGCAAATCCTTAAATGCTGACCCCCCCTCAGCATTTAAGGATTTTTTGGCCCTCGCGCCCCCCCGCAAATCCTTAAATGCTGACCCCCCTCAGCATTTAAGGAATTTTTGCCCCTCCCGCAAATCCTTAAATGCTGACCCCCCCTCAGCATTTAAGGATTTTTTGGCCCTCCCGCAAATCCTTAAATGCAGACCCCCCCTCAGCATTTAAGGAATTTCCGGCCCTCGCGGTTCTCTGCAAATCCTTAAATGCTGACCCCCCCTCAGCATTTAAGGATTTTTCGGCCCTCGCGGCCCCCCCGCAAATCCTTCAATGCTGACCCCCCTCCCTCACGGCCCCCCGTAAATCCTTAAATGCTGAGGGGGTCAAGGATTTTTCGGCCCTCGCGGCCCCCGCAAATCCTTAAATGCTGACCCCCACTCAGGATTTCTTGGCCCCCGCGGCCCCCTCAAATTCTTAAATGATTTGTCAACCCAAAAAACTTAACTGCTGACCCCCCCCAGCATTTCAGGATTTGTCGGCCCCACCAAATCAATACTTGCTGAACCCCCCCCCTGAACATTTCAGAATTTATTCGACCCCAAATAATCCTCATTTGCTGAAGCAGAGGTGCATGCGTACTTGCCTGCAGAAACATGCAATTCCAGCAGCGCACTTTCAAATGTGATGCGTGTGTTCATTCAAGGGACGGCCGCAGATGAGAACTGGCAAAAGCATATGCTCTGCTGCTACCAAATAAAGATGTTTGTGAACTGATAAATCCTGAAGCGCCGATCAGCAACTATGCCTGTCGCCCGCAAAATCCTTAGTTGCTAAGGGTCGGGGTCAGCAAGGAAGGGTTTGTTTGGCCCGAAAAAATCCTTAATTGCTCCGTAGGTGGGGTCAGCCACAGAGGAATTTGTTGGAAACGGACCGAAACATTCTCAATTGTTGGGGGCAGGCCGGAGGTCGGCAACTAGGATGCTCAAGGGGAATCAGCAATTAAGGATTTTTGGCGGTCGAAATATCCTTGAATGCTGAGGGGGGGGGGTTGTTGCCGCCACAAAAACCCTTACATGCTTTGCGTTCGCATCGTTTCGGTCAAAATTTGGATACTTACTATTACATTCTTAAAATTTGTTGCGCGTAACCTTCTTCAGGGCATTCTTGCAAGGGGGGATGAATTGCTTGGCTGCCCTGCCATTTGCGACGCCCGTTCTTCATTAATAAACGCCCAAATTGGTGTTGCCAGATTGGACAGTTTATCGTCGCTATTTCCGTTGATCGCCGTTGTTCAGAAATGTCCTAGGGTGGTGAAAAAGTTATTTCCGGGAATGATTCGGGCTTAATTGCTGCACCCTTCCCTTAATTACCGCGCAAAACCCTGGGTTACGCAAGTTCACAACTAATGGGTTTTCCATTAAACCACTCAAAAGCAACCAAGTCCACTTTGGGAGATGGCATGTTCAGAGCTCAGCCTACGAAATCTGATTCACAACGCCTTTCCTCTCCGAACCCCCCCCCCCCCCCGGGCCTCAGAAGCCCAACCGCAGCTTCCATTCCCAGCCCAGGATAGAACAGACAGATGAAGGACGGATGGACCTGTCTTTTCGTTGATGGCACCCTTTTGATGTTAAAACTCAAGGGCCACCAACGTTACTATGTCAGGTGTGGATCAATCATCAATCCAGAGGACCACAGAAAATCAGGGGTTCCACTTCCAGGCGAATCAATCCACATGAAAGATTCCTCTGAAGGTTTTCAGTGCCTTGTTATACCCAACCCCCAAGCCTGATACTGTGGGCGGACAACCCCCTGCACAAGTTGGTGATGGTTTACCCCAGACTTTTCCAGGGTTTTATCCATCCCAACTTGGTGCAGGATTTGGTCCAGCCACAGTATCAGTCTTGGTGCTTTGGGTACAACTAACTCACCTTTCAAGCTGCGGAGGACTTCGTCACCTGACTATGGGTCAAAATTAAACCACCAATAAACCGCATGGTTTCATTTCCTGGGGAAGCCCATTTTGGTACCTATTTTTGACCGCCACCTGGATCTGCCCCACGCCCCTCCCAAGCGGTTCGACAGTTCGAGAGGCGCAGCAGCAGCTGGACGAGCGCCGCGCAGCTGCGGCGAAAGCGGCGCTGCAGCGCCTGGAGGAGTTGCGCGCGGAGCAGCGCGAGGAGCGCTTGGCGCTTGGGGGCGAGTCGGGGGGAGGTGGGGGGGTGGGGGGGGGGGGAGTGGCGTTTCTCAAAAAGCATCTCTGATGTTCTGGTTCTTGTTTCTGGTTTCCCGAGAACATCTTGGATCTTCGGGTTCTCTCGTTTTTTCTTTGTGGGAGGGGGGGAAATAGGAAAAAGGGGGGGCCGAGAGGTGGGGTGTTGATGTTTGCCTGTTATGGTTTTTACATTTGTTTCAAACCTATTATCCACCTTATTCTTTTTTCCCCAGATAGCTGAAAGCTATAGGGGTTCTAACTTCTAATAAAGAGGGGGAAGTGATTTGCGAGATTGATGAGCTGGTGCTAAGGGGCGTGCAGTTTGGGGTGCTGGTTTTTGCGGATTGGGGTGCTGTTTGAGGCGCTGATGGCAGTGCGGGCGCATCTTTTCAAGATTGACGGTAGGGTGCTAGGGGGCATGCAGTTTGGGGGTGCTGGTGCAGGTGCTGTTTTGGGGGTGACGGTGTTTTTGCATCTTGACGGTAGGGTGCACGGGGGCATGCAGTTTGGGGTGCTGGTGCTGGTGGTGTTTTGGGATGCTGTTTGGGGAGCTGTTTGAGATGTTGGTGACGGTGCGGGCGCAATGTGCGATATTGACGCCCGGGTGTTATCGGGCATGCAGGTGACGGTGCAGGCACATTTTTGCATGTTGACGGTAGGGTGCAAGGGGGCACGCAGCTTGGGGTGCTGGTGCAGGTAGCGTTTTGGGATGCTGTTTGGGGTGCGGCTGGGTGTCTGGGGGGGTGCTGTTTGGGGTGCTCTTAGGGTGACGGTGCAGGCGCATTTTTTGCGAGATTGACGGCAGGGTGCAGGGGGCATGCAGTTTGGGGTGCTGCTGCAGGTGCTGTTTATGGATGCTGTTTGGGGTGCTGTTGGAGGTGCTAGTGATGGCGCGGATGCTCGATTGACGGCCGGGTGCTGTTTGGGACGCTCTTCGGGGGGTGCTGTTGGTGGTGCTGGTGTGCAATCATTGCTATCTGGGGTCTATGCTGGTGTATTTGTTTAAATCAAAAATATAAAGGGTTTTGATGGGAGGTTCTCTATCGTTTTCGTTAAGGTGGTCATTTGGGTAAATTGTCGCCTTGTTCATTGTTGGGCTGGGGAGTGACATTTTGTTCATTTGAATAAGGTTAGGACTGTTAGTAGTTAAACGTTCTGGGGTGTTGGTGGTGCATTTTTTTGACGTTGTTTTTGTCATTGAAATTTTTGGTAGGTTATAATTATAGTATCATGAGAGGTTATAAAAGTTTACAATGTTTAATCATCTTATAACTATAAACTATGAATAAACAATATCAAACTTCATCATTATTAGTTCTATAGATTTCAAACATATGGGTTTGGTTTTAACAATCACCTGTTCTGAGCAAACAATGCATATTTCGGTTTCGGAAATACATATTTCGATTTTGGACATACATATTTGAGTTTCGGAAGTACATATGTCAACTTTGGAAATACACCACTAAAACCGTTTCGTTTCCATTCTTGAAATACATATTCCCGTTTCTGAAATAGACGTTTCGGTGTCCGAAATCCCTTGCAGACATGGACGCTTCGGTGTCCGAAATCCCTTTCAGAAATAGGCGTTTCGGTGTCCGAAATCCCTTTCAGAAATAGGCGTTTCGGTGTCCGAAATCCCTTTCAGAACTAAGCGTTTCCTTGCCCGAAATCCCTTTCAGAAATGGACGTTTCGATGACGGAAATCCCTTTCAGAAATAGCCATTGCAACTTGTTCATTATATTTTCTGATGCTAAAGCAAACAATCAACAATATCACTGACTAACTCGGACGGTATTTTAAACAAGTCTTCCTGCTTATGAATTATAGGATGTTCGCCCCATTCCGCCTTAGTTTTTGGTGGCAAGCGTTGAGCAGTTTCAAGGTGTTTCTCATTCCTAATTTTCCTACAATCCCTATTACATAACGGTCTGGGTTTCCATGTTTCAATGTTTGACCACAACCTTGTTCGCTTCCTTCTCCTGCTTCAGTCGCTCGTAGCGTAGTCTATTGTGTTCCTTTTTCTTTTCACGGTGTTTTAGGTAATACTGGTGGTAGTAATCTTTCATTTTCTCTGGGTTTGCTTCAACATACGCTTTGTGGGTTTGTAGTCGCTTTTCTTTCTTCTCGTAGTAATACTGTTTGTCTCTTTCTTTGTATGTCTCCATATGTGTTTCACGGCGTTTCTTCTTTCGTTGATTAATTTTGTTTTTGTCTCTTTCATAGCGTTCTTTGCCGCGTGCTTTTATTGCAATATTGTTTACGTATCGCTGTTTGAGCATTTCCTTTTTATCTATGTAATATTCTTGTTTGTTTCTTCCTGCCTTTCTTTCATTTAGTTCTGCCTGCTGTTCAGCTATTATATCACCTTCTCTTTTTCGTAGTTGTTGTAAGTTGTGATATTCAACATTCTCCAAGTGCTCAATGAAGAAATTGTCTATACCAAGTCTGTTCATTTCTTGGTGTATCAGCATTTTTCCGCAATGTGTTTGTTTAGTGCTTCCAATGCATATTTTATTGTTCAATGTGTTTTTGATGCAATATATTTGACCCTTGATGATTTCTGCTTCTATGTTTTCCATAGTCTTGATTATTATGAGATACAACGTATTATTTAACTATATTTGGTAAAGATTATGGAGAAAATAAGTCTAATAATTTCATATTATTAGAACTATTTAGACAATCATTGTATGGAATAATGCCCGTATGGAAGGGAATAAAAGGCATCTTTATACCAGACTTTTTTTCAAAATTACTGAGAGATTGTTTGACTTGAGACATTGAACATAATTGCGACTACGAATGACATTGTATGTTATTTCATGCTTTTTGTTTTGAAATAATGCTTCATGATAGTTTTGATATGACAGTTCTTTATTCACTTTGTGTTTCACTACACCTTTTGATTTCTTATGTTCATCATCCTCGCCGTGGATTGTAAAAGCGCATGATTTGGGATTTAACCCTATAAACTTGGTAATTACTTTTCCGTTGCATTCATCCTTGAAATAACCGAGTTTTTTCTTATTTGCTTTGTCATGACATGCCAGAAAAGCTGCAAAGGGTTGACCTTTTCGAAGAAGCGGGTTTCCAAACGCAGCAAAGTCCGCAGAGGGTTCACTTGTTCAAAAACGCTGGGTGGGTGTGGGTGGTTTAGGGCTGGTTCAGGGTTAATTTGAGTTGGTTTAGGGCTGGTTTAGGGTTGATTTAGGGTGGTTTAGAGTTGGTTTAGGGCTGGTGTAAGGCTGGTTTGGGGTTGGTTTCAGGTTGGTTTAGGTTTGGCTTAGGGTTGGTTTAGGGCGGTGGGGCTGGCTTAGGGCTGGTTTAAGGGTTGGTTTCAGGTTAGGGTTGGTTTAGGGTTGGTGTAGGGTTGGTTTAGGGTGGTTTTGGGTGGTTTAGGGCTTTTAGTTGGTGTAGGGGTTGGTTTAGGGGGTTTACGGTGGTTTAGGGTTGGTGTAGGGTTGGCTTAGGGTTGGTTTAGGTTTAGGGCTGGTTTAGGGTCGCTTTAGTTTAGGGTCGATTTAGGGTCGATTTAGGGTCGATTTAGGGTCGGTTTGGGGTTGGTTTGGGGTTGGTTTGGGGTTGGTTTTGTGGTTTAAGCCTGGTTAGGGCTGGTTTAGGGTTGGTTTGGGATGGCTTAGGGTTGGTTTGGGGGTTTGGGGTTGGTTTTAGGGCTGGTGTAGGGCTGGTTTGTGGTCGGTTGATTTAGGGTTGGTTTAGGGTTGGTTTAGGGCAGGTTTAGGCCTGGTTTAGGGCTGGTTTATGGTTGACTTAGGGTTGGTTTAGGGTTGGCTTAGGGTTGGTTTAGGGGTTTGGGGTGGGTTTAGGGCTGGTGTAGGGCTGGTTTGGGGTTGGTTTGCGGTGGTTTAGGGTTGGTGTAGGGTTGGTTTATGGTCGGCTTAGGTTGGTTTGGGGTTGGGTTAGGCTGGTTTAGGGTTGGTTTCAGGTTGGTTTAGGGTTGGTGTAGAGTGGTTAGGTTGGTTTAGGGCTGGTTTATGGTTGGTTTAGGGTTGGTTTAGGTTGGTTTAGGGTTGGTTTAGGTTTAGGGTTGGTTTAGGGTTGGTTTAGGGTTGGTGTAGTTAGAACAGACCTTGGATCTGTCCAACCATATATTCAACGGCAAAACCCAACATTGTTATCATAAAAATCCCCCGCACAACTTGCCACCTTCATTCATTCCTCATTAAGCAATCCATCTTATCCGTTTTGTCCAAATATTGAAATTTATGAATTCAAATATTCATTAAAAACAATCTTTTCAAACGGGGTTACAACATCAAAATAATAGAATGGTGAAGGTGGCAAATTGTGTAATATTTTTTGGGAATATCACCTATGGAAAGATGGGCAAGGCTCCCCTGTTTCATTTCTTGAATTGTTTTGGGGAATGCTTGGCTGGAAACCACTTGGAAACTCAAAAGCGTCCTTTTGCTTCGAAGAGATGGAGTCGTGCAACATTTGTTGCTTGTACTGCCCGCGCCGAACCTAGGAAAAAATTAGCCCTTCCGCCGGGGTTGGGGAGGGATTAACAAAAACCCCACAAACGGTGTGGAGGTTTGCAAAGGACGCCAGGAAGAAGCCAACTTTTCGGTCGTGACTTGGCCAATAGGGCTGAAGAGATGCCGGAAATGGTTGGGTACTGTCGAGAAAGAAGTCTCCTTTCTTGCAACGAGGGCTTCAGAGGCCAAAGGAATGACTCGAGAAGCCTCGCAGGAAAGTCCATGGGACAGTTAAACAGGCTTTGCTTCCAGGATGCGCAAAGGGTGGAGAATGGATTGACATTTGTTTGAGCCATTCTATGACAGAGCACACTTCTCCACTTCTCTGTGCGCCGCTGGTAGCACATGGGATCTTTTGGAGGTTCTTGATTTGACAGGCAACCCTCGTAGGGGATAAGCGTCCCAGAAGTGTTTGGCTGTTGCAAGTGCAGATGCGCGGCATGCTGTCAGACGTCCGTGAGTGATGGGCCAGGAGGAGGACCGGTGCCGCATCGTGGAGGAAGAGAGGCCGAAGCAATCGATTTTTTACTTTATCTTTAATTCCCCAACAGCTGAAAGCTACGGGGTCTCAGCCCAGATAAGGTTCGGGGTTGGCTCGGGGGAGCTCATTTAATCTCGGAGCCTTTTGTATCTGTCGACTTGTTTATGCTCGTGACGTGCTACGTGAATTCGCTTCTGCCCGGACAACCATGGCATGCAAACAGTGGAAAGAAGGGTGTGCGGATGAACTGGAGTTCTACCCTTTTTGCAGATTTCTCTTACATCAAGACCGGGAGAACCGCAGAAGATGAGACCCTGGACACCATGTTCCCCGTGTCTTCGCAGGCGCCGGCTGTTGGCGGAGCACGCGCGCGGCGGCCTTCTGGGGAGCTTCTGAGATTTTGGGTGTGCCTTTTGGAGTTTGTGCGCTTTTGGGGGCTGGTTTAGATGCAAATTAAAGGGACACCACCCAGACAAGCTCATTTTGCTCACCTGAGCCCTGGTCGAAGCTTGTACAGTTGCCTCGGCCTTGGACGCCTCGGAATTCGGGTGAGGAGCATCCTTCCCTCGAATGCACCCATGTTGACCGGGGGAGTAGGCCCCCTTTCGCTGTCGTGGGAAGGATGCGTGCTGTCTGTGACAGACAAGTGCAGGGGGGTCTGCAAGAAACAGTCCGCCCACGACATGGTCGTCACGGCTTTGTATGACGATGATTGTCGTCGCTGCACTCATTGTTTCACCATGTTGGACCACGCTTAAATTGTTGTCAAAGCTACTAAGGCTTCGAGGTTGAGTGGGTTGGCTGATGCAAGATGCCATCCAGTGCTTTGGGGGTGGCCTCACGCTATGATTTTTGCCTTTTGGCTGTTTGGCTCAATGTCGAGGGTTGGGACGAGAGGTATCGTATCTTGCCCAGCTGGCTGGTCTTCAAGTGGCAGTGGGTCAAAAACCAATGATGCCATTTTGGGGTAGGTGCACCACGCATTTGAGTCTATTTTGTGGGGAGTGGGATGTTCACTGGGGGTACGGGCTTCTGACCCATGGCCAAGTGCTCGTGACCTTGGTATCGTGTTCCGAGCGTGCGGCTTGGGCATAAGCTCAGCATGCACGTGGCAGGTGCCGATCGTGTGCGTGTGGTCAGTCCGCACCAACATTTTGCTCAAAGCAAGCTGGGAGCCTAGCGCTACATGAGTTTCTTTCTGATTGTAGGGGTCACTTAGACGTGCCGGGATGGACGAACTCCGCTTCGGAGCCACTGTTCAGACACCCTGGAACGTACATGCCAACGCTATGGTTTCAACCATGGCTTCCTCGACCGTGGGGCAAGGAAAAGGGGATTTTTTTTCGCCACTCAAGCGTGTGGTTTGGACTCAGAGCAGGTTGAATTTCCAGGGGTCAGGCTGGTGCATTTCTTCGTCAAGTGAGCCACTTGCTCAAAACACAGGTAGATGAAGGTTAGTCAGGGACACTCCCAACCATAAATAGCTGCGGATATCCGCCTTCCTAATTCTTCACATGGTTCTGGGTAGGCCAGTTTACCGGGTTTGACTATGACTTAAGTGCAGGCAGCTTCATGCTTTGAGGTCCAAGGAGAGCTTTTCAATCTTCAGGCCGGGCCTTGGCTCTGAATGCATGTGTGTGTGTGTGTTTTCTGTTCTTTTCTTTTTTTCCAGTTTTTTTTTTTTTGGTTTTAAAGGGAAGTCAAAAGGAGAGCTACTGTTTTGTCCCCGAAAGAAAGACAAGCCCGAATAAGTAGATGTCCTCTTCGGAATGCGGGGGGTTGACTTGTCGCAGGAAGCGGAGCTTTTGGATTCGATGGAGTCAGTCCAGGCCGGGCTGATTTGAAGAGTTGGCGAGATTCGCAGAAGAGCTTCGGGTTTTCGCTTCGTGGGAAAGTCTGGCGGTTCTTATCACTCCTTGAGGTGACTAACTTAGCCTGATTGTGAGCTTGGATTATCCTATCACAAGTTCAAACGCGCTTGGGGGGAGAGAGGAGTGCACGAGCAATGCAGCACTTTTTGGATTTCAGCCTCAGCCGCCCCAGCCCTCACCTGTATCTGCAGCACCTTTTCCTTTTGGATTTGTTGCTCAGCCTCAGCCGCCCCAGCTGAGGCTGATTCCGTGAAGTCAACTGGCACCTTCCCCGAGTGGCTACGAAATTTGATAGGGCCCCCCCTCACGAATGGTCGGCGCCCAAAACTTTCAGGTGCCAAATTTGGTCTTAGTTGATGGTTCCACTCAAAGTTTTTTTTTTTTTTTTTTTTTCCCGAGGCTATGGCCGAAAGGAGTCTCTTCCTCTTTTTTTTTCTCAAGCCAAAAGCGCAACTGGGGTTTTGGGCTGCGCTCCACGACTTTCCTTTGGAGCCAAAAGGCTCCGCTTCTCGTCTTCAGGAGCGAAGCCGATGGGTCTTGAGCTGAGACGGGCGGGTTTTTGGTCCATGGGAGTGGCGCCGGGGTCATGTTCTGGGTTTCAACCAGCCCGGTTCCGAGCTCGGAGTTTTTTTGTTTTTCCTTTTTCTTTTTGTTCTTCTTTTTTCCGGATGCCACAAAGAGCTGGTTGAGCGGTTGTCCGAATTTAAAGCACTTTGAGACAACCCAGTTTTGCAGGTTCCTTGTTTCGGAGTTCGAGCACCTTGAAAGACTTCGGACAGCTTTCCTTCAAATCCAAAAGGTTCCCCCCCAATTTGAGACAAACAACCGCGAGCCATCAAGACACGGGTAGTTCGAAATTTCGTTAACAGTCCCAACCAGAGATTGCGGACTTTTCTTGCCCTGAGTCAGATTTTGGGGCACGGGGCATGCAGAGCGAGTGACGAGGGATGTTCGCGACAGGTGCTGCGCAACACTTTCATGGAGCTCGTGGAAGACGGTTCCCCTGGCCAGGGCCTCGGAGAGAGCGCTTGAGGCGAGCGCTTGAGACTGGCAGAGACCGGGTGCCTTCTTTGCCATTTGCGGGGAATCTGTGCCACCCCCAATAAAAGCCCGCGTGCAGAGAAAAAACAACAACATGTGGTTTGCATTTTTTGAAGACGGCATTCCAAAATCCATGACTCATCAACTGGGATGGCCACATGGCGGAGAGTTGGATACCCAGGATTTTCCAGCGGCGCTCTGATTCGGGCAAGCTCCGACTCAGTGCTCTACGAAGGTTCGGAGGGCTCACCTTGGACTTTGTTGTCCAAAGGCGGCTTCTCGAAACAACCCTTGAGTAGCTCCCCTCTAATTGGTGGTTTGGATTGGTGGTTTGGAGGTTGGGTTGTGGTTGGGATCAAATCCCCAGGTCTTGACGTGCAGAAAAGCTCTCAATGCGTCTTTGCAGTTGTCACGTGAGCGAGCTCCCGTCAGTGACCGCGTTTTGCCAGGCTACTCTCCCAATCCAGCCGATGAGGCCGCCTATATCTGCTGGAATGCTAAAGAGACTGTGGATGGTTGCGAAATCCGCTTGAACGGCGCCACCGTTCAGAAACCCAACGGAAGGATTCGACTCAACGACCAACCAACGGTATGGTTTCAACTTCATGGATTCCTTACCCGTTCTGCCATAAGAAATGGAGATCCGCAACCAGCCCACAGCATGTTTGCAACCTCCCCCCAAGCTTTCGTCTGCGCGTTGCCAGACGCCGAAGCGATCTGCGCCACCTGAACCCAAAGAGGCGGTGGAGGAGAGATGAGAACCCAAAGGTTGTGCCTAGTGTTCCAGGTTTGCCTTGCGCAAGATCGATGTAGAGCCAAGAAGAACCTGGGACAAATACCTGGACCCCCAAAATAACCCCACAAAAAATGGGTTGTTGCCCCAAAGTGATGGGGTGATTGCTCCTTTGTTTTGTGAGTAGTTTGAGGGTCCATGTACCCTCTTTTGGAAGCCTGCAGATCCTTACCAGCATGGGGATCCTTCGAGCATTGCGAAGCTTGCCGTCCACACGGCTTGTGCATGAACCGTGAGATGGCGAGGATGGCCACATCGAGTTTGAAATGAATGGCTGGAGCGACACGGAGACGAACCCTGACACACAAGAGCGCCCAAGCCTTGGGGGACGGACTTGGCCATGGGTCACAATCCAAACATCCCAATTCCCACTAAAATCCCGACTAAAATGGGTGGTGCACCTACCCCAAAATGGGATCCCATTAGTTTTGACCCACAGCCACTTGGTAGTTTGCAGCTGGCTGGCCGTGACGGTTACATGATCTGAGCGAGAGACACTGACAGGTCAGAAGCCGCTGCCATGCTATTCCCACATCCAGGACTCTCTGCCGATGCCGTTGCCTTCGAATTGCCAGAATACCCTCCCGCCAACACATGGAACCACCTTGGGCTGGTTTGGACCATTTTCCTAGAGAAGAACCGGCCGCTTCTGTCAGGTTCTGGCTGTAAAACGGGTGGAAGGCGCCTCCCCGTCTTCTGCCGCAGGACTTTCCCAGCGGTGAAAGCACCCCGCTGTGCACCGCTTTGCCAGGCGGCCGCCTCGATTTGAGGGTGGGTGGGTGGGTGGGCGAACTCCGCTGGAACGGCACTGGTCAGACACCCAACGGGAATGAGTCGATTCCCCGAAGCGAAAATACCAACCAACGGTGTGGTTTCTGGAAGTACCCTTTTTTCCAGCTGAGCCTGAGCACTTCCGAGCGACGGGGCCATCCCCTGAAAGCACGTGTGCAAGTTGTCTTCAGAGGGACCCCCCTTTTTTTGGTTTGTAAAGGGAAACCAAATTTTAACCGACCCTCTTTCAGGTTCCCCCCCCTTTCATTGGGGTATGGGTCAAAATTAGACCACTAGGGCCTCAGTCAACCTATTTTCCATTTACCGACCGGGCGAGCCATTGTGGGGTTACCCTATTTTTGCTCCCCTGCCAGGGTTCCATGTAGGAGAACACCCAATTTTGATGCAGACCCATTTTGAGAAACACGCGCGCGCGCCCAGACGCGCGCGCCCGAAAGACCCAGGAGAGGAGGAGAATGACTGCTGCGTCGCTCGTACTCCCAGTCCCAGAGGCTGGAAACCGAAACCTTCCGAGCGGCACGGAAACGGCGGAGGGCTTAAGCCAAAGCCGTGGCTTCTGGGCTTGGCTCAAAGGGACAAGAGGGGGCCATGTCCAATGTATGCCTCGCCCATGATATTAACCAGGCTCCCGCCTGCTGCCGCCGACCCTCGGCGGATTTGCAGAGAGAACCCCAGGGGGGCATGCGGCGGAAACCGGATTAACGGACAGGTCGGAAAGATGGCCGCTCGTCCGTTAATTGCCGCGCGGGCCGGTTTCTGCGCCTGGGACCAGCCTGGACTGGGGGGACCCAGTCCAGGCTGGTCCCAGGAGCCCGTGCGGCATTAACGGACGAGCTGCCACCGTTCCGACGTGTCCCTTAATCTGCGCGGGGCCGGTTTGCGTCGTTCAAGGTGCGTCGACTTGGCCCGGGAGGCCGAAATAGCGGAGGAAACAGGTGTCCAGAGCGGCGTGGGTGGATCCGACGCCAGCAGTCGCACCAGGAGGCGAGCCCGAGCCGCGGCGAGGACCGGCCAGGACAGGTCCCAGCACAGGTCCTGGCACCGGTCCCAGGACCGGTCCCAGGACCGGTCCCAGGACCGGTCCCAGGACCAGTCCCAGGACCGGTCCCAGGACCGGTCCTGGGACCGGTCCTGGGACCAGCGCCAGGACGAAACCGGGTCCCAGGACTGGTCCTGGGACTGGCCCCAGGACCGGTCCCAGGACCGGTCCCAGGACCAGTCCCAGGACCAGTCCCGGGACCAGTCCCAGGACCGGTCCTGGGACCAGTCCCAGGACCGGTTTTGCTCGTCCGCACAGCGCGAAGCACCAGGACCGGTCCCGGGACCGGTCCCCCAGGGATCATTGATTCCAATCACTTCCAGTTGCATCCCACGCCGGTCCCCTCTGCAAGAGGCTGGGACAGGAGGCAGAGGGTCGGCGGATTTTGGGGGTTGAGTCGATGTTTGAGCAGCTGTTGTAGTTGAAAGGCTTCGCCTTGGACCTGAGATGTTTCCGCAGTGGCCAAATGCTAATTTTCACGGGGCAAAGACAATCCAGAGTCGACCCTTGAAAGGGAGTTGAATCCGATGGCAGGCATGGACTGGCAGCCGAGCGACTTTTTCCAATGTATGCCTCGCCCATGATATTTTGGGGGTTGAGTCGATGTTTGAGCAGCTGTTGTAGTTGAAAGGCTTCGCCTTGGACCTGAGATGTTTCCGCAGTGGCCAAATGCTAATTTTCACGGGGCAAAGACAATCCAGAGTCGACCCTTGAAAGGGAGTTGAATCCGATGGCAGGCATGGACTGGCAGCCGAGCGACTTTTGCGAGGCGCGAAGCGCAGTGCAGGACCTCTTCTTGTTTTGGACCGCACGCAGCACACCTGCACCTTCTATTTTTAAAAAAATAAAAAAGTAAAAAAATATGCACATGCTCGCCGCCCTCTTTTTTTTTGCCCAGGTGCCTTTTAAGGAGGAAGAGTTCAGGCCTGGCTGTCGCGCTCGACCCGGGGATCGCACCTGCCGCGCGCATTTCGAGGCCCGATCCACTCCCGGGGGTGGCGCCCCCGTCCGTGGGCAGCCGAGATCGAGGGGGCTGGGGTCGAGGGGGAGGGCGACGTTCGGCCGGCGACGTTCGGCCGGGAAGGACCGGAAGGAAAGGGCGGCCTTTTGAAGGAGAACTGCGGCTTCAGCCCTTTCTTTTTTCCCGGTGCGGAAAGAAGAACGAATCAGGAAGATGTAGGAAGCAAAGGTGGATTGCGGGCTCTTTTTTTTGTTTTGTTTTTTCTCCGGAGTTTCACACCGCGCAATTGCGGCCGAGGCATCTTCCGAAACACCGGCTGACAAGGCTGCTTCGAAACAGGAGACCTCACTGTGGCATGATCCTTGTGTGTGGACTCTAGTTGGATCCGAAACCTGTTCCAGGTTGCATCGCATGTACATGTGCAGGCACCCTGGAAATCATTTTTTTTTCTGTGGGTCAAAACTAGGTCAGCCAAATGGAGCCCGAGTAAGTGGAGACATGGACCCAAACCTGGGGTCTTGTGGTTCGATTTTGCCCCATACTGAGAGGATCTGCAGCGCTTGGCAGCGGAAGTGGCGCGTTTGGCACAGGAGAGGTGCCAACCATGGCCATGTTTTTTCCCCAGATAGCTGAAAGCTATAGGGGTTCTAACTTCTAATGAAGAAGAGAAAGTGATTTGCGAGATTGAGGGCTGGGTGCTAGGCGGTATGCAGTTTGGGGTGCTGGTGGAGGTGCTGTTTTGCGAGCTTGACGGCTGGGTGCTAGGGGGTATGCAGTTTGGGGTGCTGGTGGAGGTGCTGTTTTGCGAGCTTGACGGATGGGTGCTAGGGGGCATGCAGTTTGGGGTGCTGGTGGAGGTGCTGTTTTGCGAGCTTGACGGCTGGGTGCTAGGGGGCATGCAGTTTGGGGTGCTGGTGGGGTTGTCCCTGCTGCTGAAGTTCCTACCCTTGTTAAGGCAGTTATCAATCATGTCCTTAACACCGGCTACGCGGAGGTGCTGTTTTGCGAGCTTGACGGCTGGGTGCTAGGGGGCATGCAGTTTGGGGTGCTGGTGGAGGTGCTGTTTTGCGAGCTTGACGGCTGGGTGCTAGGGGGCATGCAGTTTGGGGTGCTGGTGGAGGTGTGCCGCTTTACAAGATTGACAGCCGAGTGCTAGGGGGCATGTAGTTTTGGGTGCTGGTGGAGGTGCCGTGGTGCCAGGGGGCATGCAGTTTGGGGTGCTGGACGGCCGAGTGCTAGGGGGCATGTAGTCCTGGTGAATGTAGTTTGCTGTTTGATTGAGGTGCTGGTGATGGTGCATGCGCATGTGCTGATGCAGGTGCTGTTTTGGGGTACTGTTTGGGGTGCTGTTTGCGGTTCTGGTGACGTTGTGGGCGCAGTTGTGCGAGATTGCCGGCGGGTGCTAGGGGGTATGCAGTTTGGGGTGGTGCTGCTGACCAACTTTCCAGACAACTGAAAGCCATTCTAACTTGTAATGAAGAAGGGGAATCGTTTTGTGAGATCGACGGCTGGGAGCTAGGGCATGCACTTTGGGGTACTGGCGCTGGTGCTCAGTTGGGGTGCTGTTGGGGCTGCTGTCTTGAGGTGTTGGTGATGGTGCGGGCGCATATGGACGGCAGGGTATCGTGGTTGTGGCATCATCATGATGCTGTCCGCAGCACCATGATGCTGTTGAACCGATTCGGACGTTGTTGCTGCTCTAAATGTCGTGAGTAATGGTTCGTGGTTCGTGGCTGGTGTATCATCATGATGTTGTCAACCACGTCATGATGCTGCTGTCACTGCGATGCTGCATTATGGTTCGCGGGTGTGGTGGCGCCATGATGCTGTCAACATCAGGATGATGCTGAATGATTCGTGGCCGTGGTCTCATCATGATGCTGCCTTTGCCATCACCATGATGCTGTTAGCACCACCATGATGCTATCCGCATCATGGTGATGCTGCCCGCATCATCATCATCATCATCATCATCATCATCATCATCATCATCATCATCATGCTGTCGCACTCATCAGGACGTCGTCTCTGCCTTTTGTCTGCTAGATATGTAGCGCGGAATCGTTCGTGGCTGGAGCATCAGTGTGAGGCTGTCAACATCACCATTATGCTGCTGAACTCATTAGGACGTTGTCTGCGCGCGTCTATTTAGCGCACCATGCTGAGTGGCTGTGGCATCATCATGATGCCGTCAACATCATCATGATGCTGTCAGCATCATCATGATGCCGATGGAACCATTATGATGCTGCGTCATGGGTCGTAGCCGTCTTGTGCTATCTGGGGTCTATGCTTGTGTAATTTCTTTTTTTCTCCCCCAGACAGCTGAGGGCTTTTGGGGGTTCTAGCTTCTAAAAAGGGTGCTGGGGGGGGTGCAGTTGGTGGTGCTGGCACAGTTTTGTCAAGATTGGCCGGGTGCTTTTGGGCATGCAGTTTGGGGTGCTGGCGCAGGTGCTGTTTTTGCGGGGGAAAGGGGGGGTGCTGTTTGGGGGTGCTGTTTGGTGCAGTTTGGGGTGCTGGTGTAGGGGCGTGGCGTTTTTGCAAGATTGATGGCAGGGTGCTTAGGGGCATGCAGCTTTGGGTGCTGTTGGAGGAGTGCGGGCGTCCGGGGGTGCTGTTAGAGGAGCTGGCGTGCAATCCTCCGCCGGTTTTTTGCTATCTGGGGTCTACGCAGGTGTATTTTTTTTGAATTAACAACAAACAAACAAACAGGATGGCATACACGCGCCACGCCAAAAGAAGTATCTTGTAAATGGGATGACTTGTCAGTGGGAGATTCTGAATATTGGTTGTGGCTCAAAGGCTACTTGGCTGCGTATGCCACGATCCGGGACTCACCCTGCACAGGAGAACGAACTACTTCGCCAGCAGGTGCTTCATCAGGCCTCTTTTCCCGCTGAAAGATCTGATGCGCAGGTTGGAAGTTGGATCAAACACGTAGCTCTCGTCTGACAAAGCGCGCCTTCAGCCTGATGGCAGGATCAGCATGAGGAGATGAAGAGCGAGGCTGTGACATCTACGTGCTTGCCCCGACTGTCAGCTACAGCCAAGCCAACTCAATCTTGGCCAAAACCGAGAAGCCGTGTTGGAACCTGCACCTAGGCCTGAGAACATGAGCTGGGTGTTCATGCCGGCCGGGGGCCCCGTCTGGTCACTGCCTCCACTCGCCTCGCTGCATGCGCAACGCATGCACCGAGGTGAATTTCATGCAGCCGTCGCACCAGGCGCCGTGGATAGACGCTTCTCTCTTGGCCTTGGCTTAGTCAATGGTGCAGGATGCCATGGATTCTTGGAGCTCTGCGTATGGCCCTCGGCGATACATCACTTGTTAAATGGGTGCCAGATGGTGTTTGCGATAACTGAACACAAAGGACCCAAGAGGCATTTTGAGACCCTAGCAATACGTGTCAGCGGGCGCTGGCCTTCTTTTCTCTAGTGGACCCTTGTGTTCTGCGGCAACCATGGGCACGGACTGACAGGCAACAGGACCAGATGCGCAAGGACAGCGCGCCAGTGTGGTAGTCTAGCTTCTCAGAGTCGGTCAAGCTAGTGGATGGACGAAATCCGTTTTCTTAGGCACCACTGTTCAGAAACCCTGAATGATTCGATTTCCGTCTGTATACCAGCAAACACTGGTTTCAACCGTGGTTTCCAAGTGGGTGCGATTTCTGGATTTCGTCCATCCACAGTATCAACGGCTGACCAGACGGTTGGAGCTGTTCGAGCCTGATTTGGGTTGAGCTTGGCCACAGGACATGGATGCAAAGGTGCGTCCGGCGGATGGGAGGGCGGTCAGCCGGAAAGCCGCAGCTCAGCCCATTTTTGAGGATGGACTTCAGCCGTCCACAACCTAAGCCACATAAGCACTGGACCAAACGCGACAGATGGCAAACGCGCTGGGGGTTTTTGGCTGAAGCTTCCCTGCCAGATGATGGCTCGGCGTCGCCGCTACAGAGGCATGGCCGTTTTTGGAAGGTCTTCTCTTTGCCCAGTGAGACGGAAATGAAGAGGGGCCTTTGTTTGGCGGCTCACTGCACAACATCCAGAAGGATGTTCCCAGATTTCCATGTGCGTTGGAGCAACTGACCAAAAAATAATGGCCCCTTCAAGAGACATGCCGAGCCCCTAGGGTTTTTTGGCCTTTTGTCAATGAAGGCTGCCTAATGCTCCCAGACTGACCGATCTTTTTCGTTGCACGACGCCTGGCTCGCTCATCGGCAGGTCGGGAAGGCGAGCTGGAGGCGCCGCAGCGGAGGTTTTTTTTGCCGCAGGAAAGCTTGTCCTAGCAGCGAAAAGAGCGGCTTGGCCCGGCGGCTTGTTCTTTGGTGCATGTTGCTTGGATGTTAGGACTTTAACTTTTTGCCAACTAACGGGTTTTCCATTAAACCACTAAAAGTTAAACTTTTAGCAGGAGCAGAAAGAAACCGAGTGTTGGTTGATCCGTTTTTTTTCGTTTTGCGTCTTTGCTTTTTCTTGTTTGCTTGCTTTCGTGCTTTCTTTCTGGCCTGCTTGCTTTCTTTCTTGCTCGCTCGAGGCTCGGTCGTACGGTTTGTTGGTTTGCATGTAGTGTTTGTTGCGTATGCTTTGCTGCTGCTGCCGCTGCTGTCCTTCTCCGCCAAACCACTCCTCCTGCTGCTGAGTACGACGGAGTACGAAGACGACGACGAGGACGACGCCTACAGCTGCTACTACCACTACCACCACCACTACTACTACCACCACCACTACCACTACCACTACTACTGCTGCTGCTGCTGCTCCTACTACTACTACTACTACTACTACTACTACTACTACTACTACTACTACTACTACTACTACTACTACTAGCACCCGCCTCTAGCACTAGCACTAGCACTGCCCACTTTTCAGTTTCTGCTGGCACAGTTTGCGCAGGGGTGTTCCATTTGACCCACTGAAAGTGATTAGCTGCCAGGCCCAGAGCGCGGGACAGACCGGAACGGAGTCCCTGAATTTGGGCCACTTGGCCCTATGGCAATTCTCAGGGTGGGTGGGACAAGGGAGGGTGCCTTAGGGTTTAGGGATCCATAGGTTTGTTTGGGGAGCTTTAGGGAAGCCCCCACCAAACCTTTTTGGGGGAAGGGACCAAGTTGGACTCCAGTGATTATAAGGTCCCGTCTGACCAGGGCGTGGCACAACTCTCAATCCACACGATCTTTTCCATGTCTGCTCGAAATTTCCATTCGAGGTTGGGCTCAAGCGAGTTTAGTACAACGCTCCTTCACTTGCTTTGTGTCCTTATGGCCATTCCAACGGAAGCAGAGGGGATCATGGCCGCGTTTTGCTCCACAATCTTTTTGACCTTCAACCTCCTGCTCAGCAAATGGCTGCAGCACCGGCACTGGCCCTACTTCTTCCTTGCCGGCCTCTCATCTCTGTGCATCACCCTCAGCTTGGCGATCACCATGATTTGCCAGAAGTCCTACTCACTTGAGCGAAGGGAGGTGAAGTGGGTCATCTTGCGAGGATTCTTCGGCTGCGCAAGCAATGTGTTGCAGGTGTGTGCCGTCCTGGCCGGTGCTTCAGTGGGTTCAGTGGGCGGTTTGAATAGCGTCAACACGGTGGTTGCAGCACTTCTAGGAAGAGTCGTGCTAGGCGAAGCCCTCGGAAAGCTACATGTCCTGGCAATGGTCTTCTCCATCATTGGTGCTGTTCTCATCTCCGACCCGGAAAAAGCCATGGCGACCACGGGATCCAGTGTCTTCGGCAACTTCTTGGCCTTGTTGGCTGGCATCTCTCTGGGCTGCATGTTCATCAGCTCCAGGAAATCCGGTGGGGCGTCCTCCATGATGCTGACGAGCTCCGCTATGCTTCAGCGATGGATCGTTTGTTGGTTACTGCACTTCATCCCTGCTGTGCCTGATGGACACGTCCAGGTGGTGGGAGAAGACCTGCCCAAGAGCTTGCTGCTGTTTGTTTGCCTGACAGTTGGCCTCTTTGTGACCAACATCTTTTCCTCTGTTGCCTCCAAAAAGTGCCCTGCAGCCTTAAGCTCCACGGTGATGAATGGCTCCCAAATGGCGTGTGGATATTTCATGGACATCATAGTCTTCCATGAACCTCCCACCATGCTTACCATCACCGGGGCCGCCATGATGTTTCTGGCGGTGATTGCTATGGCCCTCACGCGGCTGCCGGCCAGGACCCAAGACCTTTCTGCCGAGCCCACCCGCATGGCCACCACCACCAGCTTGGCTTCCTTCGCAGCCTCGGAATTCGCGGAGCGTCAGGAGTCAATGGCCTCCGAGCTGCCCGGCTTGCCCGAGCCGAACACCGCAGGACCTAGGCTGCGCTTGCCAGCGGCTGACCTCATCGGTGTTAGGGCATAGCTTGATGGCCTATCTTTGAGGTGCTAGCACTCTCTTGGGATGGGCTACAAACGCCTTCCCACTTTCTGGTTTCTTTTGTGCTGGGATTCGACTTCCCAAGAGCAATTTGATGCAAGCTGTAAAACAGGTTATCAGTAGCCTCAAGGCTACAAGCCCCTCAGTCCGGAAGATCGGATGTACAGAATGTACAGAGGCATTGCCATGGCTCCCCTTGTAAAGTGCTCTGGCACCAGTGGAAACCGACTCCATGTCCGCCCTGACCCCGTCTCTGGGGGATTTAACGCAAGTCCAAGGAAAAGGAGGCCACACGCAGATGGTGTAGCGACACATGGTGATCCATGCAATCATACTTGCGGGATCAGGACATGAAGAAGAATTATATCGAACAATTCTTGTTCAACGCAACATAATCACACCATGATCCTTATGCGAAGGTCTGGGTGATATGGTGACACAATCTGTGACTGTTTTAATTGACCTCAGGGACTTTACCTCTTAGAAGAAAAGTCATCGAAGAAAGTCCTGAAGTTTTCGCATCCCCTGCCACTTGATACTTTGCTTAGGATGGCGATTCAGTGCCGCACAGCAAGGTTTGTAGGCTCAGATCAAGAAGCTAAGCAAGGGTTGGCTTTTGTATTGCTGGGACTGTCCATGAACTTGCATGAGTCATTACCGTTTGTAGGTGATTGCAGAAGGAGGGTTCAGTCTGTTGATGAGACCACTATTGAGCTGAGAGAGCGTTGTTGACCAAGCGTATTGACATGTATTGACCATTTCCAGTGTGTCCATGTGGCTGTGACACGGACTTTCGGCTTTTGCCAGAGCCCGCTGTATACGGAGTTTTGCACTATTTTATATCAATGTTTTATCATTTTTGTGTTCTTTACAGTGGATCCAACCTTGTATTTGCTAGAGATCTCCTGTTTCAGTTTGGTTTTCAGAAAGTCATAGTAACGGCAAGCAAGTTTATCAAGCAACAGCAACATAATAATCAAATCAAGTTTACCAGACATGTGTTTTTTTCCAATCTCCGTTTTGGTTGATCGACTAATTTCACATTGTTTGTTTGTTTGTTTGTTTGTTTGTTTGTTTGTTTGTTTGTTTGTTTGTTTGTTTGTTTGTTTACCCTTTCTACCTGTCCAACATGGGTGTGCTTTTCAAAGGCAACTTGGGCTGACTAAAGCAACTTGGGGCGTGAGTTCCACGCCCGCGGTCCAAGGCGCTTCTTTGACTGTGTCTGTGGAATTCTTCTCCGGCTTTAAAGTAGGTTCTGTTCAAAGTAAGTGGCTTTCCGTATAGGGATTATGGAGGATTGGCGAAGCCTCCATTTTGAACAGCCCAGTTAAAGTGGGTAGAAGGTGTCACTCATTTGTGCCGACCCAAATCACATCCCACGCACTAATCCGCTTCAGCCGGCTGGTCTGAGGACCCAACTCACCTGGGCTCCCTAGGAGCACCCACACACCCACGACGCCCACTCGAAGCTTGCCTTGGCTGAGGCAAGCTTCGGTCTTCCAACATGTCCGTTCGGCCTGCGGAGTGTCCGTGCCTCGGAGCCTCAACTTCCACACGGATGGCTGGGATCTGCTTCAGCTTCAGGTGATCTTCCGCTGGAGGAGTGCACCACTGCTCCCCTGGCTTGCTTCTTGTTTTCTCGCAGGTAGGGAAAAAGAAAGCAGAGTCCAGTTGAGTCAAAAACCCGGGTAGATGAAGGTTAGTAAGTGACGATCCCAACCAGAAGTAGCTGCGGATATTCGCCTTCTAAGTTCTTTACATGGTTCTGGGCAGACCAGTTTAATGCCGGGTTTTTGATTGTGACTCAGTTAGACTCGAAGATGCCTGTGAAACGAGGGAGCGCTGGCCAGGTGATGCTCCGCAACCTGCCAAATAATTACACGCGGGCAATGCTGCAAGTGGCTCAGCATCCATGCAATCACGGTGCAACAGCGAAAGGAAGATGGGTTGTCAGCAAAATGTCAGACCGTTTGTACCTGCCTTGGCTCAAGCTCAAGAAGTGAACAAGGCGTTGTCCTGATTCACAGCAATTCGAAGTTATAGGGAGACTCATTTCTTTTATTCGCGGCATGACTGTGCTGAAGGCCACGTTGGGTTCCGACATCCGCCGGTGCCTAGTGGAGGACCTGAGCTATTCGGGGCTTTGCAGCTGCCTGGAGCGCCTCTTCCCAGATCTGGGGGCCTACACGGCGAGGTACCAAGATGATGAAGGAGATGCTTGCGTGCTCTGCGAGAGCTCCTTCGGGGACTTTCTTGCTCAGGCGAAGCAGGCTGCAGACCTCTCTGTCCGGGCTGGGCGGTTGACTCTGCGCCTGGAGTTGTTGCCCGCACACACGGAGAACAGAGAGAGGCCACCGCAGCCTGAGAGTGAAGCAGCAGACGCCTGGAGCATGTTCGTGCCCCCCTTCCTGCATCCCCTCCTGCAGGGGCTGCACCTGGGCAAGGGCAAGGGCAAGGGCAAGGGCAAGCGCGGCCAGGACTGGCGCGGATGTGGCGAGGACGCCGAAACGGGCCAGCCTTCTGCGCGTCCCAAGATCTCGGAGGTGCTGACGCCGCAGGCGCTGGCGAGCATTGCGGTGTGCTGGCTGCCCCGTGCGCTGCAGTTTGCTGCTGAGCGGGAGCCGGAGGAGCTGGGAAAAGCCCTGACTTCCATTGAGTCGCTCAAGGAGGTCTTAGAGCAGATTCGGCCCTTGTTGGCGCCGCATGGCTTGCAGCATGTGGAAGCATCCCTGGATGCCTGCCTGGCAGAGATGACGCCTGCCTCGGCAGGGAGGTTCCTCCTGGACTTGCTTGCCGGTGTTGACCTGCTGCACTTCGAGGCGCAACACGCCTTTGTGTCGGCCCTTACCGAGACCCAACACGAACGCCTGGCATCCAGCCTCGATGGCTTGGACTTCCCGCTGGAGCACCTGGGCGTGACCTGTGACGGCTGCCACTCGCCAGTGGTTGGTCCGCGGTTCAAGTGCAAGAGCTGTGCGGACTACGACCTTTGCGGCGTATGCTATGCCAAGAAGGACGAAGTGCACAGTGGGCCCTGTGCCGGCCATGAGTTCACGTGTTCTCTCTTGGACTCGCGGCGTGCCTTTAAGCACCTGGTTGGCCTTCCCTTGTTTCAGCTGCTGAAGGGCATGGGCAAGAGCTGCCAAGACAAGGGCTGGGGCTGGCAGGGCAAGGGCTGCCACGGCAAGGGTTGGCGTGGCTGGCAGCGCAACTGGCAGGACTGGCGCAACTGGCATGGATCCGAGTGCTCTGATCGGCATGGGCAGAGCACTAGCAAGGATGACGGCACGGCCTGTGCCAACCCGGGCTGTTCCTACCTGACAACCTGGCACCCTACCCACTGCTGCCACTCCTGCTCCGCCGGCCAAGGGCACGGCCCTCATTGTGCGCGCCGCAGCAAGCGTGCGCGTGGGGAGGATTGTGAGACGGGCCAGCCTTCTGCGCGTCCCAAGATCTCGGAGGTGCTGACGCCGCAGGCGCTGGCGAGCATTGCGGTGTGCTGGCTGCCCCGTGCGCTGCAGTTTGCTGCTGAGCGGGAGCCGGAGGAGCTGGGAAAAGCCCTGACTTCCATTGAGTCGCTCAAGGAGGTCTTGGAGCAGATTCGGCCCTTGTTGGCGCCGCATGGCTTGCAGCATGTGGAAGCATCCGTGGATGCCTGCCTGGCAGAGATGACGCCTGCCTCGGCAGGGAGGTTCTTCCTGGACTTGCTTGCCGGTGTTGACCTGCTGCACTTCGAGGCGCAACACGCCTTTGTGTCGGCCCTTGCTGAGACCCAACACGAACGCCTGGCATCCAGCCTCCATGGCTTGGACTTCCCGCTGGAGCACCTGGGCGTGACCTGTGACGGCTGCCACTCGCCAGTGGTTGGTCCGCGGTTCAAGTGCAAGAGCTGTGCGGACTACGACCTTTGCGGCGCATGCTATGCCAAGAAGGGCGAAGTGCACAGCGGGCCCTGTGCCGGCCATGAGTTCACGTGTTCTCTCTTGGACTCGCCGCGTGCCTTTAAGCACCTGGTTGGCCTTCCCTTGTTTCAGCTGCTGAAGGGCATGGGCAAGGGCTGCCAAGACAAGGGCTGGGGCTGGCAGGGCAAGGGCTGCCACGGCAAGGGTTGGCGTGGCTGGCAGCGCAACTGGCAGGACTGGCGCAACTGGCATGGATCCGAGTGCTCTGATCGGCATGGGCAGAGCACTAGCAAGGATGACGGCACGGCCTGTGCCAACCCGGGCTGTTCCTACCTGACAACCTGGCACCCTACCCACTGCTGCCACTCCTGCTCTGCCGGCCAAGGGCACGGCCCTCATTGTGAGCGCCGCAGCAAGCGTGCGCGTGGGGAGGATTGTGAGACGGGCCAGCCTTCTGCGCGTCCCAAGATCTTGGAGGTGCTGACGCCGCAGGCGCTGGCGAGCATTGCGGTGTGCTGGCTGCCCCGTGCGCTGCAGTTTGCTGCTGAGCGGGAGCCGGAGGAGCTGGGAAAAGCCCTGACTTCCATTGAGTCGCTCAAGGAGGTCTTGGAGCAGATTCAGCCCTTGTTGGCGCCGCATGGCTTGCAGCATGTGGAAGCATCCCTGGATGCCTGCCTGGCAGAGATGACGCCTGCCTCGGCAGGGAGGTTCCTCCTGGACTTGCTTGCCGGTGTTGACCTGCTGCACTTCGAGGCGCAACACGCCTTTGTGTCGGCCCTTGCCGAGACCCAACACGAACGCCTGGCATCCAGCCTCGATGGCTTGGACTTCCCGCTGGAGCACCTGGGCGTGACCTGTGACGGCTGCCACTCGCCAGTGGTTGGTCCGCGGTTCAAGTGCAAGAGCTGTGCGGACTACGACCTTTGCGGTGTATGCTATGCCAAGAAGGGCGAAGTGCACAGCGGGCCCTGTGCCGGCCATGAGTTCACGTGTTCTCTCTTGGACTCGCGGCGTGCCGTTAAGCACCTGGTTGGCCTTTCCTTGTTTCAGCTGCTGAAGGGCATGGGCAAGGGCTGCCACGGCAAGGGTTGGCGTGGCTGGCAGCGCAACTGGCACGGATCCGAGTGCCCCGATCGGCAAGGGAAGAGCACTAGCAAGGATGAGGGCGCGGCCTGTGCCAACCCGGGCTGTTCCTACCTGGCAACCTGGCACCCTACCCACTGCTGCCACTCCTGCTCTGCCGGCCAAGAGCACGGCCCCCATTGTGAGCGTCGCAGCAAGCGCGTGCCGCGGCCCTGCGCAACCTCGGGATGCGAGTTTCAAGCTACCTGGCACAAGACTCATTGCTGCCATGCCTGTGCAGCAGGCAAGGCCCACGGTGCGGCCTGCGAGAGACGCTCCATGGACGTCCAGAAGTCGAGCGGCAGGGAGGATGTGAAGATGGAGGCCGCGGAGCGAAGCTGAGGGCAGGGCCCGGATTAGGAATTTTGAAAGCTCATGCACAGGAGCGCTAGCCGCACGTTCTGATTTGGTGCTTTTCCCCACTGCAGTCGAGTCAAATCCTTTGCTACAGAGAGCCTGGTCTGACGGGTGGCTGCCTCATGAGCTTCGCACCACCGCCACTGCAGTGGACCTGATTGGAGCCTGGGGATTGTGTTCACAGCCCGGCGAAAAGGATGGCAAGCCTGGGGCAAGTGGGGAGAAGGCAGGGCACAAAGTCGAGGACTTGAAAATGTCTGGCTTCCCGCATGGAGATTGTGATCTGCAGACCTCCATTTTTACATTTCAGATCATGGATGGTTTTGCCCTTGTCCTCGGAGCAAGCGCGTGCGCTACTGTAAATGGGCATACCAGATGGAGCATGCAACCAGACTTTGCCAGTAACAGTGACGTGATGCGCAAAAAACGGGGGTTGACCAAAGGTCCTTTACATGGGCTGACCATTGGATGGAAAACTGACAAACCGATGTTTTCTCCCCACCAAACTGGAAAAGTTACCCTTGATCATTTGGGGCCGAAGGGAAATTTGATCACCCCCCAAATGTTGATGTCATGGTCTTGTAAGTCCGCCTACTCGAGGGAGGGCCCTCAATCCCGGAGCCATGTCGGTATCCAGAAACTCCTTCTCACGCGGCGATGAGGCTGGCTATGCTTGACAACGAGGGCTTCGAGGGGAAGTGCGCCTGAAAGCTAAATGGTTTGTGCGTGGCTCAAAATTGAGCAACTGAGGTTACGCAGGTTTTAGTGTTTGGCTCCATTTGCCAAGCTGCCATGTTGGTACATTTTTTGGACCCACAGCCATTTGTGTGCAGGTACAACTTCCTCTATTTGCCCATCGATTTTCAGTCACGGGCCTGCCTAGGTTACGCGTTGCTTGATTGCAAATGGAAAGCGCAGCCTCACAAGTTGCCACTTGGCCGGTGGAGCTTGCAACCAGGCTGTCATTGTAGGAATGTTCTAAGTTGCCAATGGCTGGTTCGCAGGCAACCAGACTTCGTGAGGTAAACCCACTTCCGTGCTCATGGTTTCAGATCTATACATGGGCTTACAGTGAACAAGGCTGGCAGAGGATCCGCGGCCCCGGCAGTGTCTAAGGTTTGTGAACCTGGTGGACCCCTCGTTCGTTCCGAACTTTTGGGAGAAGTTCAGCTACTGGGCGGCAAGGAGCATTGAGCGAAAGTCGTCAGAAATTGTCGCATTGTCATCCCAGGTGGATACTCCAAGTGGGTGTTGCCGAGCAAGAAGGCTCCCGCACGTCGCTTCGCTGCCCAAGGGAAAAGAGCCCGACTTTGTTGGCATTTTGCAAAAACCAATCCCAACGGACCCAAAACCGGGTCAGTCAGAAGTAGACAGGTCATCAGTCGCTACCAATCCCAACCAAAAACCGGGTCGGAAGCAAGCAACCCGGTCGCAGGTTTGTGGAGTGAGCTGGAGCGGACCGCACCAGGGGCTGGAGGAGCGATCTTCGTGCCTCGAGTATCTCTTGTCTTGTTCTTTTTCACTCTGACACTGTCTCTCCGAGGGATGAGGGCTGAGGGATGTGACTTAGAGGGCTCTGGCGAACTTAAAAAAACACTTCTCGGTCTGCAGATTGGTTGATGCAGAACAATTATGCAGAGCCCCATCAAGAGCCACCGCATGGGCGACAGATGGCGACAGCTTTCTCAGGGCCGCGAATTTGCAAGTAGCTTGCGGGAAACTCAAATCCCAGGTTCCTAAGTCGGCTGAGGACTCCATTGGTTGCAAAACAACTCGATGACATGTCCCACGAAATGGGAGAAGCTACCTGTGGTGATTTGGGGCCGAACGGAATATTGCTCACCCCCATGTCTCCTTCCGCTTTTGGAACCGCTGAGTTCTCTTTGAGACGGCTGGTTGCGAGTCGGACCTGCAGGCCCATGTTGAGCGGTACCGCAACAGCCCCGCTGGGACCCCCGGGGCTCGGAAGTCCGAAGGGACTGCAGACCCCTTCGGATCCAGTGGAAAAAAAACACCATCTTCTTGTAGCCGGCCGTGTCGAACTGAGGGCTTGCGTAAGAGGACCCGAGAGTGCGAGTTGTCAACTGTTGGTTTTGGGAAGGAGATCGGAGTATCCGATTTCCGGGCCTAAACGAAAGGGACGACCCAATGTTGTCCGCGTCACGAGGTCATGCACGAAAGCGTGCCTGACGAGTGCGCCGAAGGGGTGCAATGCAGGGCATTTGTTGCAGGGGTTACTGGATGGTTTCGCACGGATCGTTATTTTTGGAGGAAACGGAGGACATGGATAGAAGGGAATTGGATAAAACGGACATGGTTTCCCGAACATGTCCCCAAAGCAAAAAAGGTTGTATTCTCCGAAAATCCGGCTGGCGTTTTCAAAACGTGTTGGTTCGCTTTACAGGGACATGTATGGCTGGAACCCGTTTCTTTCACGTGGCATGGCTTTCAGAGAGGCTCCCTTTGAAAGGAAGCGTCTGGGTTTCGTTTTTTTGCTCCCCATTTGGCAGGATGGTTTCCATTCAACATCGGAGGCTGAGCAAGGGGTTGGTTCCTTCAGGGGAAAAAAACTTCTGGGTTTCCAAGTTTCCCCCATTTGGCAGGTGGTGTCCATCGACCGATGACTCAAAAACGAGTTGGTTCCTTTAAAGGGAAACGCTGGGTTTCCAAGTTTCCCCCATTTGGTGGTTTCCATTTGGTTCCATTTGGTTCCTTCAGGGGGAAAAACAAAAGCAAAAACATTGGCCTGGGTGTCCAAGTTTTCCCCATCTAGTGGTTTCCATTGAACAACGGAGGCTTAAGAGCCACTTGGTTGGTTCCATTCGCTTCCTTCAGAGAAGAAAAGAAGAACAAAACGAAAAAGGAAAAAACAACACCCATTGACGGCCCATTGAGCTGTGGTTTCCATTTGGTTCCAGTTGGTTCCATTTGAGGGGGAAAACAACAAAAAAGAAGCCCATGGGGCCGGGTGTTTTGCTCGGGTGTGCTGGGTTGTTTGTGTGCTTGTTTGTTTGTTTGTTTGGTTGGTTGGTTGGTTGGTTGGTTGTTTGTTTGCTCAGGTACAAGCCCGTGATTCTGCAGCACGGCCTGCGCGTGGCCTTCCCGGAGCCCTCCAAGGCACCTCGGCCCGGGCCCCGGGCCGCGCGTTGCGGTGGGTTGCGGTGGGAGAGGGGCCCGAAGTTTCGTTGGGCGGGGCCCGAAGGGTTCCAGGTGTTCATCGTTGGCAGGTGTTTTGTTTCTTTCTTTTCCCTTTTTTCCTTAAGATCTTCTGGACATACCCTCTCTCCCACTCACATGGCACCTGAAAGGGGTCCCTATCTTGCAGGTACCCTCCCACAGGTGCCATGTTAGTTGGAGGGAGGGAATCATTTGGTTGAGGGATGAAACTGCTGGTGTAATATGTACATCTTATGCTTGGGCATGAGCAAATTTCTGAGGCCGCCAAGAATTCGTCAGCACCACCACTCCTCCGACGGCAAGGTGCGTGCGACGCCAGCGATGACACCCCGCGATGTCTGAGAAAGCCCACGTGCGCAGGCTGGCTGGCATGGACGACAGTTTCTGAGCTCCGATCCGTCCAGGACGGCTTGGGATGAACCCAACCAACTTGCCAATGGCTTTGTTAGGATTCTTAGATATATGTGTTGCATGCAACCATGTCCCTGGTCAATATATGCGGTTACCCTGAAAGATGCCCCTGGTCAAAATATGCAGATACCCTAAAAGGGGCGAACGATCACACCAAAAGCAGCGAACCGCTGTCCACGCCATGAATGCTGCCTCACGTGGATGTCCGATGCAGCCAGTGCAAAAGCACCGAGACTACGCACAGCCATCAGCGCAGTGGGCCAGCAAGCAGACCAAAGCAAGAGCTTGCAGGTCGCCACCCGTTCCATCAGCCGAGCAATTCGATCGTCACACTGTGGATGCGAAATCCGTTCGCGCCGTTCGGAAGCCCGGGAATGATTGGAGTCAACGTAAATACCCTCCAACCGTCATGAAATTTCATCTTCTACCATCCTTTGGAGTGTGTAGATTGTGCCGTCCTTTGCCGCATTCTTTCAGGACTCCCTTGGCTGCCTGGGCCCCGGCTTGCTCCGAGATCCGCCCGCGCCGCGCACGTTTCGCACGCCTTTCGCGAAGCCGCGCCGAAAACGCGCGGCGCCCGAGGTCGGGGCCCTGCCTCCGGGCTCCGTGAGCCGCAGCTAGCGACGGACAGGGCACCGCGCCAGGGCGAGCGGCGTGCCCGGGGCTCCGGCCGCCGGCCGCGTCCGGGGGTTCCGAAGGCCCGGCTCCTCCCCTTGGGGGTTTGGTTTCATAGAGGAAGCGGAAAAAAACCCGTTTTTTTCGGCGAAACGGTGGGCGGAGGGCGGAAGAGGCCTAGAAGATGTTTTTTGGGGGATGGTCTCAATTTGGGGGACCCGCACGTGTTAAGGGTCCCAGATGGATTTTGTTTAGCAATTTTTTGGGGGTTGTTTCTTGAAAAACTGGGGGGGGGGGACCCATGTTTGCCGCCTTTGTTTGGGCCCTCACCTAGCCGAAAGGGGGTTGGACGAAATAAGAGACGCCCTTTTGTGGCAGCAGCCTAAAGCTGTTGGGGTCCGAAGAGCAGTCGCTGCTCAGACCCGGAGAGGTTACTGACATTGGGGACGGAACCGTGGCCCCGGCTCGAATGCGCAGCCATGCACGGTATTGATTTGCTTTGAATTACCGGTCCAAAGTCATTGAGTTGCAAATGACTCGAGGGCCCTTGGCCCGGAACATCACCAAAACACCTCTGCGTGATTTTCGGGGCAGACCCGGATATGGTCTCCGCCGCAACGCGCCATGTGGCTGAAGTCTGAGCATGTGTTGATTCTGCGGGGGTTGCTTTCAGCCACACCGCCGCGGCGCCTGTTCTTTGTTTTGGTATAGCACTTTTTTTTTCCTTGACGAGCTCTCCTTGCGCTCAGACGAATCCCGCTGCCCATTGGTACTGCAACGAGGGGCTGAATCCTATTTCCCATGACTTACCCATGGTTGGTTCACACACCTCATGCAAGCCATGTCGTCAATGGCATCGGCATCGAGGCTTTGAGCAATTCCGAAGCCCTCTTTGCGCAGGGAAAGCTTGTCTGGAGTGCTGATCGATTCGGCATCCGAGTTTTGTTGCCCTTCTGGGACTCACTCTCTCCGAGTCGGGAGTCGAGTCTCTGGGACTATCTCGGAGGCCTAAAGACACTTGGTCTCATCGGATCAGGACCTCCATAGTTCGGCGATGTTCGGCGCCTTTTCCTGTTGACAGTCGAGCCCTTTGATCGCTCAGTTGCAGCTGGAGACGGGGCATACTCCCCTTGCCTGGCCGCGTGTCGCGGCTCCGAAGCGGCGTGAAGACGGGAAGAGTGAGCGGGGAGATTCGAGTATCGAAGTACGATCATCTTCTAGTTGGGAGGGCTTGCCTCCAATGTGGGCAGGCTCGCGTGAGGATTCGACGAGTCCAGCACGCCGCTCCGGAGATTTTAAGCATAAATGGCCGTTGGAGGACACTCACGAAAGGCGAGTGGCTTGACTTCTGCGTTAGACTACCTGCGCCGGCATGTGAATTAAAAAGGTGCTATGGACACGATTGAAAGCAGGATCTCGATTTCGAATGCCGAAGCCAAAACTTAACCCCAAGATAGGCATAGGGTCAAGGGCACTCGACCAGAGCACCGTTGCATCGCTTTGTGCTGAATGGAGCATCCATTTTTGTTAGTGCTCTTTTGGGGTACACTCCCGGCATTTACCAATCTGTTATGCAAGATGTGCCCAGCACAGACTGTTCTCCCCACCGAACATGAGTGAATCACAAAGGGCGCTGAGCGACCGTTTTGCTGCGCAGCCCATCGAATCTCAAGGATTGGGGTGGGCGTTGCAGACGACAAAACACCGCACAGCACACTGCGATTTACATCTAAGCCTTCAGTTGCCCCCCCATGGCAGCGACGCTGGCCAGGCTTAAGACATGGTGGAGGCAAGGCCCGTGATCCAAGACAATCTGATCGGTGCCAAGTGATCAGGTCGAAGAGCCAAGACCTCAGTCGCCCGTGCGGCCGCGCGAAAGTCCGAGTCAGCCGGACGGCCGGGCAGCCGGTCGTGCCAACGTGTTGCGATCGCGAGGTGCGGATGGGGACGACGCCGAGACAGATCAGCAGATGACCATGATGTGGGAAGTGGCGCCGGACTCCCAGAGTTTGGCCGGGTTTCCCGCTGGGTCATCGCCGATGGGCCAAGTGAAAACAAGCTGACGCAGCTGATCGCTGAGATAATGGCGATGTAGTCACTAAGAAGTTCGGAGCGTTTGGGTCCCCTTTTGGTGAACCTACTGGGTTTTGGCCCAAGACCAAGATATTTGAATACGCAACTGGACAATCGAAAGCTTTTGGAACAGGAGCCCAGCATCGAGATATCCCAAGCCACGCTCCAATGCACAATCAAAACTGCTAAAGACGCTTCCCGCTTCTCACGAACCATGTGAGACAATGACAACGTCACAGGCACATCCCAACACCCATGTGAAGAGGCCACTTAAGATGTGTCCTGTTGAGTCCTTCCACACCCGCCTTTCCCGCTACACACGCCTCGTGATCGTGAATCCCGGGATTGCCATGTACCCCTGTACTCGAAGACTTTAGGAAGCAGAAGGAATGTTTTGCCACGGTTGGGCGCATCCGATTGCCTTGAGCAAACGGCAGTGTGGATGTCCGTCGCTCCTCAGTACTTTAATCACCTGGGAGGCGAGAGGCTTGCTTTCCCCGTGAGAGGAGCACTTTGAGATTGATCGCCGCCCAGGAACATCAAGGTAGAGCCGCCGAGCAAGAAGGCCTGAGCGATGGAGCAGATCGCCCTTTGAAGCTCCATCGGTTTCATGCTGGTTTCACTCTGTCCATTTTTTCCAGGTTTTCTTGTTGTGCTGTGAGTTCGAAAGCATCTGCTTTATTCATGGCTGCGTTTTGTAATTGTTTTTGGCGTAGAGTTATTTCTCTTCAACAGCTTTTGAGTTTTCCACTGACATCTCAATGCTAAGGAAGTTGCCACAACTTTTTTCGGTTTTTGCCGCATCGCCGACTCAGGACAACTTGCCGAGATGTTTACGGCAAGCGCACAAACACCATACAGCCCCCCCCCCCCCCCCCGCGTTTCAGACAGCCAGCAATGCCGCCAACTATCTGGGCTGTTTTAAGGTAATCCTTAGTCCTTACCTTCGGCTACGCAAGGGGTCCCGTTGTAGTGGCTTCTAGGATTGGACGGCGCTCCTGGGTTTCGGACCGGTTGCAAAACATGCAAGCAACTAACCTTGCCCAGCCCCAGTCCAATCAGCTGCTGCTGGTGAAGGGTTGGGTTGGTTGACACAGCAGCAAGCCACCAGGGGGAGCCGCAGCCGCCACAACGGCTGCGCTTCCTGCCCCCTTTCCGTTCGAATGAGGGCGGGGGGGCGCTGCTGCCAGCTAAGCTAGAAGTGGTTCCCGTGATTAGCGTCACCGCGCTCTTTGCTGCGAGTTGGGGGGAATGAGGTCCGTGTGTCCGTGGCGAAGCGGTGGGTGCAGGTGGCTGAAGCTTTGCGCAGTGCTACGGTCCACGCTGAGAAAACTTTGGGCGCGTGTAAGCGCTGGCTCGAGTTTGCCAGGGCCAGCCCAGCAGAAAGCACGGGAGTGGTTGCCTTGGAAGAAGCTGTTGTCGGAGGCCCTTTTGGCGGCAGTGGCATTGGGCTCGGGGCTGTATGACGAGCAAGGGGATAGGGATTTCTCGCACCGTGTTCAGCAGGTTTTGTAGGCGCGTTACCGCTCGCCCTCGTCCAAGAAGCCAAGCAGGCTGATCAGGTGGAGAGAGACCTTTGGGCAATCTCAAATATTGCGCTTGATCGTAAGGTTCTGCGGCACTTGCTGGCGCCGCGCCCGAAGCTTCAGGCGTCCAGCGGAAATCAAGGGCAAGCTCTTTCCGTTGGGCGGATGGCGAGTGCAAGATTCTGAATTGCAAGTTCGGGCACGCTTGCGCGATCTGCGGCAGCGCAGACCATAGCTCCAAGGATTGCCCCTACAAGGATCGCTGCGAGAAGAAGCAAAAAAAAGTGTCAGTGACTGTCGCGCCGCTGCGCGAGCGCGGGCAATAAGCGTGTGCTTGAGGGATGGAGGGGGCGTGGTCTCACAAGCAGATTGGGCTACACTCCGCAATTCGGCGCGTTTGCTCGTCTGTGGCAACTCTGGCGTGCGCCTCTGCTGAGTGAAGATGAAGTTGCCATGTGCGTCGCGACATGGCAACCTTTCTGACAAGCAGAGGGGTCACTTCTGCGTGCTCCGTTGCGCCGGGCGGGTTGCTTGGAGCTTGTGGGAGATATGGACAAGGGGGTGCCACTTTGAGATTCTTTGTGGACCTGGCGTGAAGGACCTGCCCAAGCTGCTGGAACTTGCGCAGGCAGATGTGGATGCTGGGTTTGCGGCTTGGCTTGATGGCGGCCTGGAAGAAGCAAACGCAAGTTCGAAGTTCGGGGAGTGGTGCGTGCCAGGCAAGCTGGGCCTCGGCGGCTGGTTGGGGATAGCAGTGTGTCCAACGCGCTCTGCCGCATCAAAGTGCAAGGAGAGCTGCCGGGCTGCGCGACTTGGTTGAGTTTCTGTCTCGACACCCGAGGCCTTTTCGGCGTTACCGACAAGAAAGACCATGCCAAATCACTAGATCCTGCCAGCGTGCTGGTGGTCCCGGTGGCCGCGGCGCTGGTGCGACTCAGCGCAATCTTGCTCCGTCACGCTCGTTCCTTTGCGTGTGTGGGTGTGTGGATGACGAGTTGTGGCTGTTTCCGCAGCGCGCTTGCTTGTCGGTTCGCTTGGCTTGCGCCCTGGGTTGGCTTGGCCGAACTTGGGTGCAGCATCGCCTGGCGCGTGGACTTGAGGGGCTCGCCACAAGCAACACTGCCCAGGGCAAAGGCTGAAGCCATCCCGCAAATCCGCAGCGCGTGTGTCAGAAGCTGCTGCAGACACTGGTAGGCCGGGTGGTCTGGTGTGCTAACGGCGCGTATTGTTTGACGCCGTGGTTGCCTGCTTGGTTCGTTGATGTGCAGGTAGGGTGGCAGCTGTTGGGTTCAGCGGGGCGTCCGACGCAAAGGCCGTTGGACTTGCCAAGCTATCAGGCGAGAGAGCAGTTTGACCATTCACTTGACAGCTGGAGCTAGGCGATTTCCCAGCCAAATCTCAGCAGAAAGGTGCAGCTAGTGATCGCAGCGTTGGAAGCTTTGGCGCCGCTGGCTTTGTTACAATGTGGCCCCAGCGGGCGTGCCGGACCATGGGGGCCAACATGGCTTGGCCATGGGCCAGCAGTGCAACAACGTGTGCGCCGCTGCAAAGCGCCTTTCCGTGAAGGCTTGAGTTTTTGCAAGCCATGTTGCGTTGCTGCTGAACGCAGAAGATCAACTTGCTCTTGACGCATGTGGCAGGTGTCAAGAATTCTTGGGCTGAAAGTCTGTCGCGGGGCCAGCAGAGTGCCCAGATTTCTGGTCCAAATTCCCACGCGCGTGTCGTGTTTGGAGCTAAGCCACGTGTGACTTGGGGTGGATGTGGAGCTCTGCTGTTTGCTAGGCAGCATTTTTTTGGTGGCTTGCAGTCCAAACACATGCTCACTTGGGGCAAAGGGCTGTGCCTGCCAGGATCCCGTACGCCCAAGCAAGGCGCGGGGTGCAGGTTTGGTGGCAGGACACGTCTCGTGTGCGCTTGTGGGGTGTGTGTGATGTGCCTGATGTTCCTGGCCGGCGCAATTCATTCGGGAAGGGGTCTTGCAAGGGCCAGCGCAGGTTCCAGTCTTGCAGGACTTGCCCACAGCGCTTGCCCCGGTTGGGAGCGCATCAGTTTACGACGCCAGCTTGAGCGCAGTTGCTGAGAGAGAATCGGTCAGGATTCTTTTCGCTTTAACGGGTCAAGCAAAGCCGTTGCTCCGCAATCAAGAAGGACTAGCTTTTCCTGGCTGTAAATTCCGCAAATTGGGCGGCGCCCTTTTTTTGGAGAACGTGTGCCTCGTTGTTGCTTAAAGCAGGATCAAAGTAAGGTGACCTTTGTGTTTGTGTTTCAGGAAAGGCATGGGGCAGCATAGCTGCAAGGTACTTGTGCATTGGTGCGTAGCCTTATCGAACCTAAACCAATGTCATGTGTCTCCTGGCCTTAAGTACCGTTTGCAGCTTGCCATACGAACAAAGTTGTGCTTAAGGCTTCAGGGCAGGTTGGAGAACCACGGCGCGGCGAGGGTGTGTGTCTGTGTGTCTGTGTGTCTGTGTGTCTGTGTGTCTGTGTGTCTGTGTGTCTGTGTGTCTGTGTGTCTGCGTGTCTGGGTGTCTGCGTGTCTGTGTGTCTGTGTGTCTGTGTGTCTGTGTGTGTCTGTGTGTCTGTGTGTCTGTGTGTCTGTGTGTCTGTGTGTCTGTGTGTCTGTGTGTCTGTGTGTCTGTGTGTCTGTGTGTCTGTGTGTCTGTGTGTCTGTGTGTCTGTGTTTGTGTGTCTGTGTGTCCAGTGCGTAGCTTCATGCCTGCGCCATTCGATCCGCTTCCAAACATTGTCTGAAAGCCATGATCACAGGCTTCGGGAGGTTTGGAAGACACTTGTTTGGGTTCTGTAGTCGTTTACAATGTACTGGTTTACCCTTTCCGTAGGCTCTAGCAGGTCGCCGCTTTGCATAAAGAGCAGGATGTGGACCGGCGGCATCAAGCTACGAAGTGAGTTTGTGCGCCTACCATCCGACAAGATAGGAGTGCATGCTTTTCCTGAACAGAAACTTCCCATAAGATAGGTCCACAACCCTTCCCGCACTCTCCACACGGATTGCTGGTAGAGAAAGCCGAGGAACCCACGGACATCTCCTACCCGCCTCGCGCAGAGCCTGCCTGTGACACAGTTGACAGTGAGGGATGCAGTGCTAGCTTTGGGTGTCACCAACTGTTTGCCAAGGCACAGCCTTCTCCAAGTATTGTTGGCTGGAGGATGGCGAGTTGTGCGCACACGGTGCTGTGTGGTGCCCCTAATGGGAATCCGGTGACAATACAAGGCCTTCCATCTTCAAACGACTCAAACATCCCTCTTGACCCACCGGGAGCGGCTGGTGGATCAATATTCCTGGCCTCCAAATGACAACGGGTCACTTTTCCTATTCAGTGGGGAATATATCACCACTTTTTCGCCGTGGGCTTTCCAAGCAATCGCCATCCCATGTATTTCGGACCTTTTGATCAACCCCCCCATTCCCGTTTTTCGCGCGAAAGCCTCATCTCCTCCTCAGGCTTGGACCTCCGCCGCCGACGACGGCGAGATCGAGGTGCAGGCTGGAGCCCACTTGCCTTGGAGCCGCTTCGGGAGTTCGGGCTATCCAAATTTGCCTTCAGAGGCAGCTGTTGAGCCACCAGGAGTTCTGTAAGGACAAGCTAGTTGAGGCCTTTGTAAATTAGGAATGGGGCAAACTTAAGCTAAGGGACCGCAGGTTTTAGTCAACTTGTTTCGACCAGAACAACCCAGTTTGGGGTTGCCCTATTTCTGACCCACCCAATCGATCGATTTCGCTCATTTAGGAATGGAGGACTAAGCAACAGCAAGCCAAGACGTCGCACAACACCAGATTCCTTTGCACAGTATGAATTGTGGGTCAACACGAAGGAACTTGCAGTCGTCAAAAAGCAAGTCCCGTTTGCAGGCTGAGACCGTGAAGCAAACGCGCGCCAGCAAGTGTTGACAAACCTTACACCGAACACACTGCAACTTACCACACTGCAACTTGATCATGTCAACTGGTCTCTTTTGGAAACACTGCTAGGATAGCGAAGAACGACTCAGCAAGTCAAAGGAGCTGTTGCTGCAAGATTAACTTCGGAGATGTGTCAGCTAAGTGTTGAAAGGCACTGCACATCACCGACTTGAGATATTGCTGCAGCTAGCAGGTGAATAGTTGAAGCTTGAGCGAGGCTGCCTCGTTTGACGCTCGGATAGATGCATCCCAGTGAATCGGCGAGCAGAGGAAGAAGGTGCAAGTTACGCATGAACACTAGCTCGTTGGCAATTGCTTTTCCAACTCCGACGCTGTTGGGAACTTGAACTTTAGCACGGCTTTTTGTTCGGCTGCTCCTTGGTTGGACATTAAACCTGTGTACAACTTTTGGACATTTTGTGTTCAGTCACAAGCAAATTAAAAACAAACAAACAATACGCAGGGTGAAGCACGACTCAGGCTAGGTCTCTATTTTGGCTGTCCAACAAAATTCGACTGCAGGGCCGCAAAGTCTGATGGGTCACTCCGCTCTTCGCTGCCCACCCCATAATTTTCGCAGACTGAGAAGCGCCCCTCACTGTGGATGCTCAAATAGGGCGCAACCAGCACGAAACTATGGCTATAGTTGAGCCACGCTGAATTGTGCCCGCCTACCATCCTCTTGTTTTTGGCGGTCATTTGGTGAGTGCACCCGTCTTTGCTATGACGGACTTAGTGCTGCAGCATCAGGTTAGCAGGTCCAGGTCGAGGAAGTCGACAGTGGAAGGCGGTCTGACACCCTGGTTCCAGCCTCGGTGCAAAGGCACTGACATGAAGGGATATTTTCTGGCCAGGGATTCAAGAGGCTTCTAAAATCTGATGGACTGACGGCCGAGTTGGAGCATTCGGAAGACGGTCCAGAGTTGACCCATGGCTGAAAACTTCTCAATCTGGTCGTTTCCTTGCAGCACCTGAAAAAAAGAAAAGAAAGCCAGGGGTGCTCCCTTCTCGGGCCTTCTCGGGCATGGCATCTCGCCTATTTGACTGGCCCAATCCGATCTATGCTCCGAGGTCAGATGAGGCAGACGAGGATGCAGTTGGTTTGCGCAGGCCCAGCGTTCTTTGGATGGACTATGTCATCAACAACGAAGCCGAGAGAAGATTCCAAGGAGGGGTCGAGAGATCCATTTTTGTTTTGTCAGGATGGAGGTCCTCAAAGGTCCAAACAGGGCGCCGCACTTTTCACAGCATGACCATGCACGTGCTTGAAAGGCGTTTCTGCGTGGAGAACCCTAGCCCACTACGGCAACCACTTAGGTCTTTTTTTGTGTTTTTGGATTTGGAACGTGGATCTGCCGTAGAATTTTCTATTTCAGAACTTCACAGTTGTCATGTTTGCTGCCATACCTTCCCCACACCCCACCCCACACCCCACCCCACACCCCACCCCACACCCCACCCCACACCCCACCCCATACCCCACCCCACACCCCACCCCACACCCCACCCCACACCCCACCCCACACCCCACCCCACCACACCCCACCTCACCCCCCACCCCACCCACACCCGCACCCACCCGCACCCACCCCACCCGCACCCACCCGCACCCACCCGCACCCACCCCACCCCCGCACCCACCCGCACCCACCCGCACCCACCCGCACCCACCCGCACCCACCCGCACCCACCCGCACCCACCCGCACCCACCCGCACCCACCCGCACCCACCCGCACCCACCCGCACCCACCCGCACCCACCCGCACCCACCCGCACCCACCCGCACCCACCCACCCACCAACCATTCAGGAAATTGCGTTGCTGCTATGCGGCCGCGTCGGCAGTTCCGAGATCGGCCGGCGCCCTTGGGCCGCCTGTGATCGTGTACGTTTGAGGAGCTCCACATGTTTTTCAGGCTCGGTGCTCCCCCTTTTTTTCCTCTCTTTTTCAATAGCCTTTTTTCCGGGTTTCAAAGGGAACGCACAAGGAAGCCGCGCCGTCGTTGTGGATCTCCCCATTCTTGAGACGAATTTGCTTTTCTTGGAGGCTTGGACCTCGCTTTGAGTTGACATTGGGTCCAAACGCGGCCCTCTGTCACTGAGTGACCTGCTTTCACCACTCGGTGCGTGCGAGGCCTGAGCACATGCGGCGGCAGGACCTGATCAAGGAGGCTGGGCAAAGTCACGAGGGTTTGGCTCTGGTGGCCAGTTGGCTGTGGGTCAAAAACCTGCAACTGGTGAACAGCAAAATTGGTGGTACATGGGTGTTGATCCGCCCCAAAATGGAGGCATAGGTTATGACCCATGGCCATTTCGCTTTTTCAGCCTTGTGCCGGCTGCCAGTCGTTGCTTGGTGGTTAGCCATCCGGTCCCTTGGCCGCGTTTTTTTTTGCGGATTTGGCCGGGTTGCCATTTACCCTAAGGGGGATCTGAAAACGGACAGATTGGCGTTGCGTTTGTGCCATGGGGTGCCACGTGGAGAGACAGTTCCGCTTTTCTTGGTGCATAGGTGAAGCACCCGGACCTGGTGAAATTGTGCCAAGTGGCAGTTCGGGACCCCAGCAACGAGAATTCGAGAGAGGTCAGGCGGGCAACCTACGTCATGCACTATTTTGTTTTGCGGTCCAGCTGTGGAAAAACAACAGCATGTTTGCTTTGGGGCATTTTGCTTTAACCTTTTGCCAACTAATGGGTTTCCAGTAAACCACTAAAAGTTGAACTTTTAGCAGGGGAGCAGATTCGCAACCGAGCCCGAGTCTTCAGGGAAACGGGTCGAACAGTTTGGTTTTCCGGGAGAAGGAGCTGCAACCAGACTCGACTCCGGGATCCGCTCCGAGGCTCGGCGGAGGGGCGAAGTGGATCCTTCGCTGGAAATGACCAAGGCCAACATCTCCCACATGGACATCACGGTTTAGCTCACTGCTTTGCGCTCGAAGCCAAGCTGAAAAACCTTTGGTTTCCCTGATTTGGTCTTTTTTTGGCAGAGGTGCCAAATTGCCAAAGGCTGCCAAACGGTGAGCCTTTGTTTTTGGGTCCTTTGGGCGAGTGAGTTAGACTTCTGTGACACTCCTCACGCGTGTCCTATGCCTTGGCAGGGCCGGCCTTGATGGGTTTATGTTCCCGAGCTGCCTTGTTTCGACGGTGGATTTGCTTTTGGCCAAGGGCTGGCTGAGAGGCTGCGCTCTCGCGAGCAGCGCCCCAGCTTTTAGAGACCGGGGCTGGCGAAGCCACTTCCGGCCGACAAGGGGGAAGATGCAAAACATGGCGAGCGCCAGGGTCACGTGTTTCATCCCATTTGGCGGATGTCAACCAGAAACCGGCAAGGTTGAGTAGGTGATCGAGTTGTACTTCAGCGTCTCCCTGAACGCTGCAGAATGATGCCGCTTCAGATTCGTCTTCTGGTTCTTTCCTCATCATTCGCGCTGGAGCTTTCCGGGCTGAAGTGGAAAGCCATAATTCACGAACACCAGCCTAGTTATATTTGTAAATGGCCATGGGTCATAGCGTATGCCTCCATTTTGGGGCGGATGAACACCCATGTACCACCTATTTTGATGTTCACCAGGGGTACCAGGGTTTTGATCCACAGCCAAATGAACATCTTGAAGGCTCGAAACCCACTGCCCTGCGGAAGCTTCTTGGGGAGCACTCTACGCCCTAATTTCCCGATTTTTGCTCCCACTCCACTCAGGTTGTCAAAGAGCAGTCAGAGAGCCAGGCAAGATGTGGCCGTCAGGAAACTACAGTCGCCTTGCAAGAAGTAGGCAAAGCCGCGAAGCAGCATCCAAAGCGTGATGTTGGGAATGCCATGGACGATGATGTCAAGGAGGCGCTGACCAACCTCCAAGTGTTCTGTGCTCAAACCGGGGTGCAGAGCAGATAGAGCAAGCACAATACTTCCCCAGAATTAGTTCCCCCCCTTTTTTTCTTTTTTTTTGGGGTCGCCTTTGTTTTCCACTAACCAGGCAAAAACATATATATACTTTTTTGCCGGGGTCCTAATTCCAGCCTGGAATAGATACTCGGGAGACTCAGTACACGGCAAAGGCGCATGATGTCTTGGCCCACGGCGACCGCCCATTTTTGCCCGCACTTGCAGGGCTGCGTTGGGCGACTGCCACGGAACATGACAACTGCAGGTTCGCTTTGGTCTGAACCTGGCTATTTATTTGTTTGTCACACTGGGGACATCCCCTTACAGTGAGGCCAGGCAACGGGAAACTCCTGCCATGACTCTACCCCCTTGAAGGTGTTTGAAGCGTGGCCTACTTGCCGCTTGAGCTTCCACTGGCAACAAAATATCACGTCGCGCAGCAAAACATCAGATGTTCTCCTTTCAGGATCACTCGGGGTTTGTCCAACCACTTCTGCGATATCTTCGGGAATCTCCCCCTGTAAATGGGGGGGGGGGTTATATACTTTTTGGGAAGAGGCCAACTTCTTTTGTCGTGGGTTCCATTTCAACCTCAGCCCCGGGTCCTTTCGTCGAAAAAGTCCTCCGTGACTTCGCTCGCGAAACCGGCGACGCGTGGCCCGGCGATGCCTCTGGCCCAGCTCTGCGCCTGCAAGGTGCTGGCGGCGCTGCGGCGTGAGGCCTTCTTCTGGCGCGCCAAGCAGGCCACCAAGGATCAGCTTCTGCGGCCCCTGGAGGAGGGCTGGGGGTGTTGGTGTGGGGCGCTGGGGTTTTAGGTCTTGTGTGTGGTGCGGTGACCGACGCAAGCGCTTGAAAGGGAGCTTCTCAAAGCCGGCGGTGCTTGGATGGCGACACAAGGTCTGGTGGTTCAGCTTGGAAGGTCAACTTGTCATGGGAGTTGGAGGTCTGACCGCCCACGGGGGGGGCGACATGGGACTAGGGAAAGCCGCTCGACGCAGGATGCCACGCTCTGGCCTCAGACTCCCGCGAGTGGGTGCCGGGCTGCGGCGATCAAACAATTTCGGCATTTTGTGCTGGAGGATGACGTGACTGCGCAGGGCGCATGGTGCAGGGTTTCTGTTGCAGTGCTGTTCAAGGCTGTTGCGCTGGGTGCTGTTGCGCTGCGTGCTGTTGTGCCAGGGGCTGTTGTGCAGGGCGCTGTTGGAGGTTGTTGGGCCAGGTTGTGACTGGCAGTTTTGGCAAGGTGTTGCTGCAAGGTGCTGTTTTGGCTTGCTGACGGAAAAGAACTTGTTCTGCTAAGATACCAGCGTAAAGACCCGGCATGCACACGACAGGTTGTTACGAGAAGGCAAGCACCAGCTGCATGCAGGTTCGATTGAAACCTTGGCTTCTTCAATTTTGAGCATGACTGAACATTTCCCTTTTCAGACCAGTAGAGTTTCATTGTCTAGCTGCTCTTTGGAAGAGAGCCAAGGAGCTGAGGGATCCAAATTTGCCTTTAAAGCAGGAGCTGAGGGTAGCTGCCAAGGATGTCAGAGTTGAATTCCGAGAGAATTTGCAGGTCGTAACGGGGATTCACGGGTACACCTGCGCCACAGGTCTGGCACGGAGCGCGAGGCACGTGTTTCTTGCATCGCGGGGATTGGGGGATTGCGGGATTTTGCAAACCTTGCAAGCTTCAGGGTTTGTCTCAAAATATCCCCCCCAAATCAGTGGCTTTCCGTTAACTTCCTTCTAAAACCACCACAAAAAAAGGGTACCATCAGAAAAAGACTCCCCCCCCCCTTCAAAGGACGCTTCTGCCCCCCCCCCCCTTCCCCCTTCTTCAAAGGACGCTTCTCCCCGGGGGAGTGCTGTTTAGGGTTGCCTGTTCTGGTTTTTATGTTCATCTCAAAATTACCCCCTCATTCGTTTAAAAAAAATGGTTTTTGGGGAGCTTATTCATCGTTTTTGTTGAGGTAATCATTTGGGTAAATTGTCACCTTGTTCATTGTTGGGCTGGGGGCTGACATTTTTTCCATTTGAAAGAGATAGCCCTTTTAGTAGTTATTGTGTCTGGGGTGTTGGGCGTGTCGTTTGTTTTGTCGTTGTTTTTTTCTATAGAATGCGTGTTGTAGATTGAAAGTATACTATCATTATAACATATATGGCCAAAAGTGTTTTAATTACAGCATGGTTATAAGTTATAAGTTAGTTTGTTCCCAAATCTTAAACAACAACTCTTCTGGGCAACGCCACCTTCCAAAAAGCGCTCAGTATTTCATTCATTTAACAGTCAGTCAACCATTTCTTATCTTCAATCATTTTTCCCAACATTGAATGAGGTTTTTTTTCCTCATGTTTACCCCTCAAACATATCTCTGTGAATCGTTATTTGTGTTGTCTTTCTGCGACATTTTGGGGCATTTTGTTTTTGCATAGACTGTTTCATTGTGAAAGGGGTAAATATTTTGTTTGTCTCAAGGTTCGGGTTATTGTTTGTCGTTGGGGTTTCTCGCCGACCTTGCCCGTTGCTCCGTGGACGTTGACATCTTCTCTGCCCAGCCGGGTGGCCCAGCTGCTAAAGTGTGCAAGGACGTGATGAGCCCAACAAGTGACTTAGCAGTTGATTGGTGGCAATCACAGCAATGTTTTGGCTCGAAGCACATAGCTGCACCAAGTTTGTTTGAACTCTCCATGGCAGTACGCAAGCGCAAGGCCTGCTTGAAGAGACGGCGGGAACAAAGAACTACTGATGATCCGGTTTTGGCATTCATCAGCAAGAGCAAGGATGAGCAGCAGCGTTTCAAACTGCTCAAGGCACACCAGGAGCAAGCCAGCGCGGTGGCGAACGCAGAGAAAGCGGCGCTCAACGCAGAGAAAGCGGCGCTCGACGCAGAGAAAGCGGCGCTCGAGAAGGTGGCGAACGCAGAGAAAGCGACGCTCAAGCTGCAAGTTCAGCTCGCGCATTTCGAGGCGGAGAACGCACTGCTGCACAAAGGACTGCTTCAAGTCCAAGGGCTGTTGACGAGTAGAGGGCTCTTCGAGCGCGCGGCTGAGCTCGCCTTTCATGAGCAACAACAAGCCAAGAATATCAGTGGCAAATTCAATTGCACGGCCACTTTGAGAACTGTTCCCTGGTATCCACAAGCTGGCAAGTGGTCGCTGCTTTTGAAGAAAGCCATCAAAGCATGTGTCAACGTAAAATCAAAAAGGGGCCAGGAAGAAAAGCTTCAGGCTGTGTACAATGAGTTATCAAGGTCCATCCATGGTCATGCTTGGCATGGTCCTCATGTCCGGATGCTTCCAGCGCTCAGCAGCCCTGGCCAATGCGTCATCACCTCATTGACGGTCACGACAATCCCAACACGGTCAATGCTGGCATCTCGAGGATCATCAAGAGATACCGAGCTGATGAGGGACCCGAACTCACTTGTGAGCAATTGAGCAATGTTGCGACAAAGACCAAGTCCTAGTTGATCCTTGACTGGCCATTGAGGCAGAAAACTGGAAGGCGCATCAGGACGTTCCAATCCCACATGCATGACAATGGATGGAACAATGTCATTGAGATGTCCTACTACGCATCCGACGATATGAGACGTGGTACAAACACACCGCTTGTTGCTTGTATCAAAGGGCTGATCAACACGATCAAGGGTGGCGGCAAATGGAAACAATCCGTTGTAAACTGCTCGGTACACATTTGGATGTCGTTGTACGACTGCATCCAGAAGCAAGGTTTCGAGTGGAAGATCAACGCAAGCTACGAGTACAACGGCCTGCTTGAAGCTCTGAGTGAACTTTCAAGCATGATGTGGCGGCGGAGTATTCGTGAGCATCAACAACCGCCCAGAATTCCATCAGAGTAGTGGTAACCTGATGCTGACCGCAACGAAGATGATGGAGATGTGCGCAAACGCGGGCGACAACGACCTCATGTGGGCTAGTACCTGGATTGACGGATAGCAACTACAGCTGCGCCGGAGACTCCAAGCTCTGCTACGTGTTGCAAAAGAGGTTGATCGTCGAGATGATCATGGATGTGCTCACGCTGGGTGCGCAAACAGTTTCCAACCTGGAAGATGCATGTGTGGGCGTGTCCCCGCTGCAATTCAACGCGCCCCAAGGCGCAACGGGCGGAAATGTCCGCTATTACTACAAGCCGGACTTCACTGCTCACTTCAACAAGCAGAAGAAATATCATGAAGAGCAACGAAGAGAAGGCAAAGCGTTCGGCAAGGAGGACGGCGACGACATGCGATCGAAGTGGTATTTCTTCGGAGACGTTGCGAATGTACTTTGCGCACAATGTCATGCAGAGGGAGCTCAATCCACAGCTGACCATCAGTACTTTGCGGATACATGCATCAACTGCCACGCGAACGGGCTGATCGAGCAGAATACCATGTACAAAGGGGCCGACCGCCCCAACATCATGAAAAGATTCTTTGCTGAGTGCAGCTTGGTGCTCGGTGACATCAACGAGCTTGAGAGTGCTTTCGATGGGGACATGGAAACTTTCGTGCAACACCTCATCGTGAATTTGTTCAACAAGAAGTTCGCGAAGGAGCTGTCGCAAATCGGTGGCATTACGCTCGATAAGGACTCTTTCGCTGACTACTTCCGCGCTAGCAATGGGAAGCAACTCTGGGTTGACAAGCTGTCGTATGTCGTGACCCATTCCGATGGAACGAAGCAGAAGAAGACCAAATTCCGTGTATGGGTAACGCTGTATACGCCTCGTGGATGCGTTGGTTCATGGGTCAAGAACAGGCATATCGTGTTTTCTCCACCGACAATGAAGAGAAGTTGGGAGATGGACTGGAGACTGTCCCCGGATTCTTCGACGTCATATCCTACTTCGGAAAGGAATTGCCAAAGTGGGGGAATGTTTGCCTACACCGACCAATGCTGGAAGCCACGTTCCTAAAGTTCGTCAGGGAGAACATGACTTCTCACATGACGGGCCTCAACAGGAAGAGAAGCGGCGCAGTCAAGCACATGGAAGTTCCCAGCAGGACCGTCAGGGACGTCATGGACAGACTGGAGTACTCGAACCCGTTCATCGATATCGAGGAAGCCGGTTCATGAGGCCAAGAGGAAAGCAGGCGAGTCCGATGAGGACGAGGCTGATCGTGGTCGTTGTCGCGGATTGAGGACCTGTGCGAACTACAGATTTGCATGAAGCGCGGGAAAGATCCCATGAAGGGACATGCAAAGACACCGCAAGGGCAACTGAGTCTGACTCGGCACGTGGCAAGATCACAATGCTATTTCTTCCAGAAGGACATCCCTCATCCAATGAAGACATCGAAATGGAGGCTCCTGATGATGATGAAGAAATGGCTTCGATGTCCAGCGAACCTCGTCATGAGAAACCGCATCAACCGCACGCGGAGGAGCCGATCTTCTATCCGAGGGAAGAGTTTCACAAGTACAACTACGTCGTGAACCTGCAGAAGGAGGAGAACTCCAGTTGGTCAACTCGACCTACACACGAATCCGAACGGAACCATGAAGGAGTACAACCACGTGCTCGATGCGTTTGGGGGAGCAAGCCCCTCAGCCCGGTGATGAAGCAGTCTGTGAAGGTGTACGAGGATGTTCATGTATGACCAGAACGCTGCCAAAGGGACTACACTTGGAAGTCATGAACATGCAGAACCGAGACACAAGTTTTCCCTATCGGCCGTACAGTGAGTACACAGCGTTTGGGTCCGGCATTCACCATCAAGACTTGTTCCTCGCGTCAAAAGCACTGGTGAAGATCCTTCGACATCAAATACATGCTGAGTCGCGAGAGCGCGTTCCCGCAGGATCGGTACAACAAGAGCGACAAATTCCAAATGATCGCCGAGTGCATCAGATCGGAGGATCGGAAAGCACGAAAACCGAGACTGCAGATCCTTGCTGCGAAGTTTGATCAGCAAGAGATCGACATGGAGACGATGGAGGGTCTCATAGCAGCAGGATGGTCGAAGAGCGAGATTGACTGGATTCGTCGTGAGCATGGCGGATGGTGGCAACCATGGTGCGTTCGTGCGTCATCAGGGCATTCGGATTTCGGATTCGCTCGTCCTGCTGACCTTTGCAACATCTTGTTTCCGAACATGTCCGATCACTTGGGCGGAGCATTTCACGTGACAAAACCATCAGCCCTGGAAGGTATCATGTTGAGAGGTATCGTTCCTGGCGGCAATGGCAGTGCGCGAAGATTGGCAGTACACTTCGGAGTATTTGCACCTTGGGACAGCGAAAACATCTCGACCAAGACTGCAATGCACGATGTCAAGGAGGGAGACGACCTCATCGCCAATTGTCCGTGTACCGGTCAGGAGTGACATCGGGAGGAACGATCGTCGCCTTCAAAGAGATAAGGGCAGGAGATTCAAGTCCACGAAGAAAGGACCTGTGAAGGAGGTCAAACGGATCTACTCCCGCGCAGTCGAGAGCGAGATCTGTCCTGGGTTCAAGGACGCTGTGGGCGTGACCCCAGCGGACTTCCTTGGAAACCTCAACAGTTTCCTGGATGATGCTTAGACAATCCAACGTCGCGCATTGGACACCTTTTTGCGCAAACGGCATCTGACCATGCTAAACGCAGCCAGGCCTACAAATCGCGGCTGTTCTCGCCA